AAAAAAAAGTGTGTCACATTAGATTGGATAGAGAGAAAGGATGGGAGGAGGGGAGGAGTAGGGAGGATAGGAAGGGCAGCAGAATAGAATAGACAATATGATTGATGTATGTACATTCCATGTATTTATTATATATCAAAATGCATTCTATTGTCATGTATGACTAAAAAATATAAATACAAATTTTWAAAAAAAGAAATCWCTTTAAGCATACAATAAGTTTGGGTTCTCAGATTGTTGTCAAATGAAATGCAGATCAGATGCAAAAATATTAGAAAGTTTAAAGGTGCTGGCTCCATGAGGTATCAGAACTTCTTGTGTTGCTCTGGGCATTTCCTTTTCTAGTTCTAAGAAACCAATTCTACAGGAAAAGATTATCATAGAGAACAAAATACCTGCCAGTGCTCTTGCTTATATGGCATGGAGCATGGTGACATATATTCCACCTCATGATGCAACATCACATATTGGGACTGTAAGTGCTGAAAACCTGGTTTAGGTAGAATCACCACCATCCACCAACACTATGATATCTAAAGAGTGATCAGATTGCAATTGGACAGCTAGGAGCTACAACCAACTCCTGTGATCTAGTGCTGTAGATACAAGATGCAGTCTGAAACCCACCAGGTAAGTTTTATAATATAATACTTTATGTGAGAGAAGAGGAGACTCAAAACTTGTTTATTTTCATATTAATTACTTCTGGGGTCAGTTTAAACACAACAGCCATAAGGAATGATGATGAAGTTGTGGCCTCCAGAGATTATGGGCCTGCTGATGTGTGTTAAAATAATAAATTCTCTGCCATTTATGTTTCTAGTTACTTTAAGCCACAGAGATAATTCTAAGAGGGGAAACTGGGAGGAAATGAATTTAACATTAGATTTCTCAGTAAAAACACATGTCTACCAGGTGTAGTAATAAGTGCCTGTAATTGCAGCTACTTTGAAGGCTGATGCAAGAAGATCAGAAGTTTGAGGCCAGCCTCAGCAACTCATTGAGACCCTGTCTCAAAATAAAAAAATAAAAAGGCTCAGTAGTAAAATGCCACTGTCCCCAGTACTGGGGGGAAAAAAATCTAGAGTCCATGTAACCCAAAGAAGATGTTTTAAGCCTACTACTTTTATACTTCCTTAAGATGCCACTAACTGTGAGATATGCCATTTTATATAACAGTGAAAAAAATGGCAATAAAACGATAATAGTGCATCAATAATTTTAAGACATATTCCAACTTCAGAGGTGCTAAAATGTGAAGCATGCACCTCAAAATTATAAAATATGGTGAATACTTTCAATAAAAGAGCTTGTATGTTAAAAGAAAGCTTCACTTTCTTTTTGCAAAATCTTGAACTAGGATCTTTTTTGGTCTAAACAAAAATTTCACACAAATTTTCCCGTCTTCCCATTAAAATTTTTCTCTCTGCCTTTGAATTCTTCCTAGAGACTTAAGTCTTTACAAAAACTCACAGATAAAAGACAGCTATCAGCTCAACATAATCTTGATTTATTTAGCAAAACTATTTACTAATTAAAATAAAATGTCAACTTCTATGCAGCATCAGGAAAATATAAAGCCTGAAAAGGATAAACCAGGACACTACCCCAGTTTTCTTTTTCTTTCTTTTTTGGCACTAGGAATTGAGCCCAGAGGCACTTTACTAAGCTATAGCCTTAGTCCTTTTTATTTTTTATTTTAAGACAGGGTCTCCCTTCATTACTGAGGCTAGCCTCAAACTTGCACTCCTCCTGCTTTAGCCTCCTGAGTTGCTGGGATTACAGGAATGTGCCACCATGCCTGGTTCTACTCCAGTTTTCAAACACTCAAGAGACATTGGTGGCTGTAATGGTGTGAACATTTGCTTTCCAAAGTTTATGTTGAAACTTAATCCCCAATGCAACAGTATTAAAATGTGGAGCCTTTATGAGGTGATTAGTCCATAGGAGCTCCACCCTTAAGGATGGGATTAGTGCCTTATAAAAGTGTTATAAGGAACTAATTAGGCCTTTTGTCCTTCCATCSCTTCCATGTGAGGACACAGCCTAAGAACCCTCTGGAGGGCACAGCAACAAAGYACTACCAGGGAAACAGAAATCAGGCCTTCAACAGGCAGTGAGCCTGCACACACCTTGATCTTGAACTTCCATCTTCTAGAACTAACTATGAGAAACAAATTCCTGTTGCTTAAAAATCACCCAGTCTCAGGTGTTTTGTCAGAGCAGCACAAATGAACTGAGATGGCAGTTTCTTAGTCCAGCGCTTTATCCAATGCAGACTCTTTCTACAAAAAGCTGAAGCAATCCCTATTTCTGTTTTCTAAATTCTTTATAAACTTGAAAGGAAAACATTCCTTAACCTTTTTGTTATGGAAAAGGAAAGAAAATTGGATTTTTAAAAAAATTTTACTTTTCCACACTTGGCACCAGGAAGATATTGATCTCAGGTTCAATTAAAACAGATACATTCCTATAAGTGGAGAAGCTCTGTTGGGAAACATGACTCAAAGGAGAGAAAGCAGTGATTCTCAGAGAGCTTGGGTTCTGGTCCTGTATCTTACTGGCTGAGGCTTTGGGAATGTCACCTATGCTTTTTTTTTTCTCTTATAAAATAATCAAATGATTTTTAGAAGACTYTCAGGTATAAATTTCTTGACTACAAAAACCGAGATGGAACACCCACTCCTAGATTAAAATACGGCACAAAGCACATCAAATTTTGAAATACTCTCCATTTAACTATATAATTCCTTCTAAAAAATTATATAGGTTGGTATTTTTAAAAATAGATTTTGCTGGATGTTAAAAAAAGTCTCCTTAATTAAATGTAGCCAATAGGAAAAGGTAAGAGTTGTGTWATTTTAAACTGAAAGGATTTAAGTATGTTATAATATATGTATTAAGTATGTTGAAGAAAAATATTCACTTTTGGCTACTAGAAAGTGCTTTGCTATACAAAGTTGCCAGTATTTTCTGTACAACTGTGAGATTCATGGACAAAGGGAGAAGTGTTAAAAAAATCTTTCATCTATATTCCCTAATTTGAGGGTAGAGCAGAGACAATGCCTGCCATAAGTTCCAGGTTACATACATCTATTAATTTTATTCTCTAGTTAGTGTTATCACTTGATTCAAAATATAACCTTTCTTAAGAACCATTATGTCTTTGTTTGACTTAATYTAAGCCTTCTCAAATGTTTTTAGCTTTATACCTATCAGCTTTATACTTGTCAGGGTTGCTTCACTGATTTCTGATTAATAATAGCCTAAAATTAGTAACATCTTGAAATATTCTAATGTAATCTTTTAAAAATGTATACATCAAAGAAAGCTGATTAAAAATGTAAAATTACTAATATATGGCAAAGAAGCCAGTAGGAGTTCAACATAAGCAATCTCACAAGTTAATACCCTTAAAATCAGTTTCTTTCAAGCAAATGCTCTTGTCTGATTAAAACCTCATGATATAATTTAGTGCATAATAAGTGTAGAAAGTTCTTTTTTAAATTGTATATCTCACATGTGTGAGTATGTGATTTGGGGTTTCAAAAATTTCAATGTTATATGAAGAATTATACATCAAATATGACTACAAAGTAATCTTTCTGATTTCTAAACAGTTATTCCAGTATTTGTATATCTAAGAGAGAAATATCCTCTTTAAAGTAAATATTCAAGTTGTCATGTTCTAAATATTTCTGAAACTTATTTATTTTTTCAACAGACATTTAAGGAAGGACTATTATAGGTCCGACACCATACTCAGGGCTATGAAAACAAAAGAAAAATAAGAGGTAGGTGGTTCCTATGCTAAGGAAGTTTATAGTTTATCATGAAAGACAATAATTCAAACAAGGAAAACTACTAAAAATATGATGTAATGAAAATCATAGAAGATGTGAGCCAAACTGTGGTGCACAGAGGGCAGGGCCATAAGATCTATCTGTAGGATCAGGAAAGGCTGCTTTTGAGGGTGTGACACATGACTCTGGTCTCAAAGGACGAGTAGGACTTGACCAGGAGAACAGGAAGCCAAACAGAATAATTATGATAGGTCCTGGAATGTTTGAGGAATGAAAACCATACTTATGAGTCAATCATAGTAGATTCTCTTGAACATTACCAGTAGTGGGGAATCTTAACTCTTTGAGCCAAGCAGAAATTAAACAGAATGACATCTAGAGAATAAGATGGGAGATCAGGCTGAGTAATATCATTTTAGGTATGAAGGCAATTCCAAATAGTTTCTCTAAAATCTCTCAAGCAGTGAGAAGTTTGTTGAAAAAAGCTTAGAATATGGCTTTAGTCCTGTTCACTGTTAGATCCCTGGTGCCTACAACTGTGCTCAGATCATGGCAGGAACTCAGTATATTTATTTAATGAACAAACACATTAATCCACAAACAAGATTAATTTATTCATAATAATAACAGCAACTTATATTTAATTTTTCTCAAGGAGTTTTCCTGCCATTATCATATAGAAACCATGAGATATTTTAAAAGATCTTATYTCTTTATTTTCATTAGTCATATTTTTATTTGCTTCTCTTTTTTCCTCTATCATACTGTGGATTCTTTGAGGAAACAGACTTTATATCACTCCTGTCAGTATCCTAAATATTAAAAGTTAATACTAACAACTAAGTTATATGTAGCATTTATCATAAACTATTCTAAATGTATTACTCATACCAACTCATTCAATTCTTATAACTATATCAGATACTATTAACATTTTCATTTAACATATTGGAAAACTGAGGCAAAGAGAGGTTTGGTTACTTGTCCAATATTATATGGTTAGTAAGTAGAAGGATTTTTTTTTTTTTTGGTCCTGGGGATTGAACCTGGGGCACTTGACCACTGAGCCACATCCCCAGACCTTTTTATATTTTTATTTTGAGACAGGGCCTTGCTAAGTTGCTTAGGCCCTCACTAAATTGCTGAGGTTGACCTTGAACTCATAATCCTCCTGCCTCAGCCTCTGGAGCTGCTGGGATTACAAGTGTGCACCAGCATGTCTGGCAGTAAGTAGAATGATTAAAACTTGAACCCAGGAAGCCTGGCTCCACATTCCATGCTCTTAATGGCCATGTATACTGTCTAGTACATTACCTGGCATACATGAGACACTCATTAGATGCTTGATGAATGAATTCTCTCCTTCTGAAAATATAATTCCCACCACAGAAAGAACATTTTTTCTTCATGTAGAAATAGAAATTTCCACTCCACAGAAATTAGGTTTGCTAAAGGTTATTTTTCCTAATATTCACATACAGTCTTTGTTAGGCTGCTTGTATAGCAATAAACAACCAAGATTCAATGACTGTCATATAAAAAATATATTTAGTACCTTCTAGTTCACCAATTTTTTTGGCAAAAACTTTCAGTTGTTTTTTCAGTTTCCGGACAGTCTTATCCTGTTTTTCAAGTTGTTCCATCAAATCCTAAAGATCAAAATGAGAAACATAACAAAAAGATCAAAATAGCCCTTTTAAAACTTCCCTTTCCAAGGGAGAGCTGACACAGCATCACAGAAATAGTACTGTTAGTTTTACATAAAAGCTTCAGAGCAGCTCGTTGGTGGAGCCCCCACCTGGCTAAAACTGGCAGGCATGGGAAATACAGCTATAATAAAGCCAAATGTTAAAATACACAATGCAGTAAAATCTTTACAGCGTGATGGATGGCAAGCTTCCTGTGGAGTCTTTTTAAGTAGACTCTCTCTGGGTAAAAAAAAAAATCAAACCTTTTCAATATATTGTTATTACAGTGAAATGGCTTATTTTAAAGGGAAACTAGGCAAGCATGAATTTTGATGAGTTCACAAAAGGTTTTGGGAGAAGATTTAAGGATCATTGAACTTATCAAGCAGGAATTGAACCCTACTCTATGAGAGACCCATTCTTTGGAGCTGTTAGAATAGATCTGAAACTTAAAAGTTTTGGGAATTAAAAGGTAAGTTGAAAAATAATCATAGACAATGGGATAAAGAGCAGTTTGATGACTTTGGGCCAAAGTGGCAGGTGGCATAAGCCACTCATGAAATCTTGCAGGTGATATATACAAAGAAAGGGAATAATTATGAATGTGTAATGCAAAACAGGAAAAAACAGTATGTTTATGGTGGGAGGTATTAAAGTGTATGATTATTGTCTCTGTAAAAGAGAATTCTCTAAAATGCCAGCACATAATTAGAAACTCAATAAATAAAGCGAATAAGAGCAGACTCAGAGTTTAGAAGGGAAATGAGTCAGGGATGTTTGTGGTTTTCATTCAGGTTACAGAGAAGACAAGTGTTTACAAATCCAAATATCATTTGTTCTCCAGTTTAGACAGGAGTGGACATAGATACTAAACTAATGATCTGGGTTTTTTGTTTTGGTACTGKAGATTAAACACTGAGCTATATCCCCAATCCTTTTTGGATTTTTTTGAGACAGGGCTTTGCTAAGTTGCTGAGGCTGGTCTAGAATTTGTGATTCTCCTGACTCATCTTCCAGAATTGCTGGGATTACAGGCTAAAATGATGACTTGAAGGGAATAGTTGCTAATGCTTTGTTCAAACTGTTAATTGCTTCTTGGATTTCATGTGATCTTTCAAATCATATTGCTTCCATCACACTGTAAGCCTAGTGTTAATAACAAACCACACATGAGAATGGACGCAGGACACTGACAGAGATGACACCACTGGCTAAAAGATAGCTGTGGGCAGAAATAGGTTTTGTGAAAGTTTTTGAAAAGACTTCTGGTGAGGGGCAGGCAGCAGTGTGCTCTTCAGATATAGAGGGCTAAAATTAGCAGGAAGACAAGGAAAAAACACTGTGGTTTTACATACAATCATCCGTTTGTAAAGTGAAATCCGATATGATTGATACTTCTTAGGGTCATCTGCATATAATTCCTCAAAATACTGAAAAAACAGGCATAATGGATATTTGGTTTTTTTCCCCCTGTCTTTGAGGGAACACTACCTCTCAGCAAAATTCATTTAAAAGTATTTTAAAACACAAATAATGAATTTGTATATATTCAGAAGACTCTGATTTGTCATTGCTATATATTATTTTAACTACATTCTTACAGATTTTTTGCATAATAAAAAGAAATGAATGATGTCCAGGACACCATCATTTAGATGGTAAACAGAATGGTTATCCACACTGCCCGGACAAGGCTGTCACTTCAGTCTTCAGCCCTCTTGCCCTTTTATCTCTAACCTTCCCCATAGGTGATGCTCAGGAGTTTGCTAGACCTACTTTGCTACTGGCAGCCACAGCAAGGGTAGGGAAGGCAAATAAAATTAAAGGGAAAATATTGGCACTGTTAGTACTCTTGTTTGGAGAGAATGGTGAGAAACCCTGGGCCCTTCTTCCCTGAAAGGCATCCTGGGGGAGGTTTGTGAAACCTGTTCACTAGAGGAGGAAAGATACCATTCTTGTGTTTGTGTTGGGGCAGTAGGTGGCTGGTGGATGTCACACAAGGTGACATTTCCATTAGTGTTCTTCATTTCCAAGAACACTAAGCCTAGGTCCATTGCTGCTTGAATTTTCTTCTCAAGTGCTTCCAAGAATTACACAACTGAGAATGAGAAACCATAATGAGTTGGCAAAAGCACATAATTTCATGTACTTAAATTTGAATCCATTCCCCTGAATTAGTAGCCAGTGTAATGGCAAGAGAAGCAGCTGATTAAAAAGGGTATTCCCCAAACTCAAACTCATTAACCAGATTTTTATGGCTTAGAATGTAGAGGCCCATTTTATTTTTATGTTAGCTATGAAAATTGCTAGGAAAAATTAATAATACAGACAGTTTRCAAAGGAAATACTTGATCAACTTAGTGTACAAACTTTGGGAATCTGCCACCCAGAAGCACCTTTATTTCAGATTCACCTAGTATTTTAAGACAATCATTTATAAGCACAAAATTTTTTTGCTGATCAATCAATGTTAGTTAGTATATTTATCAATTCTTAGTCATCAAAGAATTGTTAGTTTAATTTAAGCAACAAAATATACTTGGGAATAATAAATGACATTTCAAAAATATTTAATGAACCAGTAGTTTCTCTGACAAATTGGCAAGATTTCAGTCACTCTGAAGAGTCCAAATACAACATTCACCCTCTTTCTGTATTCCCACCATGAGCCTCACACAGAAATCRGACTGCAAAAAGAATACCTTCCGCTTTGCTTCTAGTTCACACAAAAGATGGCTGGATAAATGACACTAGAAATCTATTTGTAATACAGAGTATCACTAATGAAATAATGGACAGACGATTCAGATTGCAAATTTTCAGAGAGAATTCAAAGTATTTTATTATAGGTCATTAAGAAACCTTAATTTAAAAAAAAGGCAAATTCTCAAAAGTCTTAAAAAACTTTTCTCAAAAATCAGGCTATCACTACAATACAGATTTTACACAGAAGTATGGAATTATAATCTTTCAATTATTTTTAATATTATGTGTATATCTGTCAGATTTTAAAAACTACAAATCTGTAATAAAGGTTATTATGTGACAGAAACAAATAACTTAGAAAATATTTTCAGTAAAAAAAGAAAAACAAACAAGGAAAAAGGAAAAGAAAAAACTTGGACTCCATACCAGTGTTTAAAAATCTGGCAAGGGAAAAAAATTCTGCATTTGTTATACAAGTTCTTCTTTTTTTTTTTTAATTTTCTTTATTAGTTCTAATCAGTTATACATAACAGTAGAAAGCTCTTTAATTCATTRTATACATATGGAGAAGAATTTTTCTCTTCTCTGGTTGAGCATGAAGTAGAGTCACACCATTGTGCAATCATACGTACAAGTTCTTCTTAAAAGAATAAGTTTAAACCTGAATCCTGACTCCCTCTCCTGTCAATAAGCTCCATCTAGCATTAACCAAAAGCCCCTTCTTGGTTCTGCCAACCACCTTCCCTGATCTCAACTCTAACCTGCTCTTGTCTGCCTGAGAGAGAGGCTGGGATGGCCTTGGTGGCTGCTTGGGGACCAAATGTAAGCAAAATTGCCCAGTCTCTGTCATGGCAATCACATACCAAACCTCCTGAGAAGGCAGAGAATCCTTAGCTGAAATGGATGAAGCAGGTTGCCTCAGACTCTATCAAAACCCAGTTTGTAGTTGGGTGGTTCTCTTCCTGACCCTCCATATGACATCTGAGAACACTTGGACACCTGGAGCTTTCTGTGAGAACAACCTGTGCAGGTTGTTTATTTGTACCAATTTATTCATGTTTTCTTTACTGTTTCTATTAGAGTAAGAGAGTAACAAATATGGGGCATAGAGATTTTCTCAGCAAGGAAAAGCTGTATTTGATCAAAAAGAAACCAAGATATTCAGCAATGCCAGGCACTGCCTGCTGAGAGGGGGCATGTGGGGGTAGGGGGGTGGTACTTCTCCTTACCAAGTTTTCATTGGTCAACCGGGTGATCTCATGCTGCAGGCTGGCCTCGATGCGGGCCTCTGGGGGTAGCTGTAGGTTCTGAGCCAGCAACTGCTGCTGCCGGTTGTTCTCTTCCTTCAGGCTCTGGATCTCCCCTCGGAGGGCCTCAGCCTCATTCTCATGGCTCCTCTTCTGTGACTGCAGCTGGGATTCCAGGAGCCTGAAGAAAAGCCATACAAGTAGAAAGAAAAGATGACACTTTGAGTTCCTGCCTAAGTGGTGTGGGGTAGGGCTTCATGCTCACTTACAAAATTAGAAAAAGTAGGTACTCTCTAGTAGCCCTGAATCTTCTGACTTGATTAAAGTAAAAAAACCCAAACAAGGACCAGAAATGTATGTGAACACTCTCATATTTGTGTCTTTCTGAGCAGTATAAAATTCTCAGAGGTCTGAAGAGACAGAGGAGTCTTAGCTCTTTAAAAAATTCATAGGAAATGATGATTTAAAAAAAAAGGAAAGACCTAGCTCTAATCTGGCTTTCTATATTTATAAGCTAGAATTCAATGTGGAAAACACAGTACCACTGCTACCAAATAACTCTGCACTATAAAGGGCAAGCTTACAAACTCCCAATCTAATTAAATATGCCTTTAAGGATTATAGTTACTAACTCTAGGCAGAGGGTGGGACCAGGGTCCCATTTTTTTACTCTTATCACTAAAGGACAGAAATGCTGGAGCCTTACTCTAAAATATATGCAGATTTAGTTAAATTCAGGCAGAAAGTTCTGTAATTTCATATATGAACATATTTTAAATTTATCATCTTCTCTCTCCCCATAAATTTATATAACAGTAACAGAATCCAAACATGACATGGTTTTGGAATACAAGTATTAACAGGACCAACAAGTGGTTACTGTTTCTTTGAGCAACCATGTAGCCAGCTGTGTGCACAAAGTAGATGAGGGCACTGGCAACAAAGATGCCAGAGAGTAAGAGCATCCTCCCTTCACTGTGCTTCCCTGCTTGTACAGTCACTCCTTTTCTAAACACAAAATGAAGTGATGGTTAAGACCTGATGCAAGAAAAAAAAAAACAGTGGTACACATCTGTAATCCCAGTGACTCAGGAGGCTGAGACAGGAGGATCACAAGTTTGAGGCCAGTCTCAGCAACTTAGGGAGACCCTGTCTCAAAAAAAGGGGGCTGATGATGGAGCTTAGGGGTAAAGCACCCCTGGATTAAATCCCCAGTTGCTGCAACTACCACCACGACCACCAAAAAAAAAAAAAAAAAAAATTAACTGATGTGAAGAAAGAAAAGAAGACATTCTTTTATTCTAACTGTCTTGGTTTGTCAACTGCTGGGTAAAACTTACTGATGCCATTGCAAGCAAGCTGTTAAAATTTCAAAAGAATTTAAACCAATAATACTTCAAAATTAATGACAGTGGTTTATGGTTAGAATAAACAAAGCACAATAAGCAGAAGCCCCCTGAACAAACAGTATTTTAAGACTTTTAAAAATTTAATTCTAAAATGGATTTTTATGAGATTTTAAGATATACATGTCAATAGAGCAGATGATTATCTGCATTAAAAAGATATTGCTATTTCAATTTATTTTCTTTCCCTTAMACATGAAACCCTCCTGATTTGTTGTCTCATGCATGTGAATTTTGCAATAACCACAAGGAATGCCAAATCATTTATTTGATATTATTTTTAGGCAGTATAATAATATATAAGAAAGCAGCCACATTGCTACAGGTACATATATCATGTAGATTGATCTTTGAAACAAGAAGCTGCTAATTAAGTAATAAATATTAGTTCCTAGCCCCCAAAATTTGTACCATACTTGATTTTGTTTTCTCAACTCCTAGAGAGAGAGATTTCTAGATATTCACTCTAGAAAGTATCATTCACTTATAGGAAGTAATTCTCATATTCACCATCAATCAATTTTAGCTTTAATAGTATCTCTTAGAGGAGAAGGTTTTAGAGAAGGTGTCTGGCTGAATGTTCTAAGTTTAATAAATTCTAATGAAACTGATTTACCCAGGAAGACAATGCAAAAGAAACAGAGTTAAAGTCACAAGGTCACTGTTAGTAAGAAAAACAACAAATTAATAACATTCCATTTTGAGGAGACAAATATAACCTGTTGGCTTGTTTTAACCCTTCATAAACCAGCCACAGCTCTCCATCCTCATTCAATTCATGGTAATCCATAGCAGAAGATCTTCCATGCAAATGAAACAAAAATGCAAAACACAAAGGAATACAGGATGGTAATGAGATGATGATGGTCAAGAGTAGCACATGGTATTTCAATATTTTATTAAGTGAGTAAGATTGTTTTTATTTATCACAGATAACACTAGAACATTACCACAAAAATTATTTTTGGTTAATTTTTWAAAAATGGGTAACATGTAACATCACATGAATGTGCATAGAAATTATAGCAAAAAAAAAAAAAAAAAACAAGACCAAGAGTTATTTTCCCCCCAAATAAGAAATAAACTAAAAAGTGAGAAAGAAATTCTGTTTTTAACAATTTATTCAGCTGGCTGAGCGATTCTGTATATTAGGCATTAGACTGGAGGCTAACCATGGCATACATGTGGAATGAAAACTCCAGTTATTGTCTTCATGTGGCAATCTTCACAGTATATCTCAAAATAAAGTTTTAAGTCTTCTGGGTAGGAACTTGTTTTAGCTTAATGAAATCTGATTCTCCATTTAAAAATTTGTTTTAAAATTTTTTATAGGAGTAACATGTATAAGAACATGTCCAATGTATTCAGCTTTTATGACATGATTTCAAGTTATTTTCATCAAAGACTAATCTTAATATATGGAGAAACTCCCTTTATATTAGAGYTGTATCACATTTTATTAGAAGTAGTTAACAGATAAGAATGACAAAATTGATAACAGTTTTTTCTAAGATACAAACATTTGTGTGTTTGCTAAGTGCCAGATGCTGTTCTACATCCTTTCATTATATTTCATTTAGTTCTCCCAGTCACCTAATATATACCATGTGCCACATTACACAGGAAGACTTGGAGACTTGGAAGTAAGATACCTGTAGAAGTTACACAGCTGGTAAGTAGTGGATCGGATCCCAGCACTGTGTGACTACAGAGTACAGGTTTTTACTCTTGCTATATAATCTTGTTGATATATTTTCATAACACAAATTGAAGGAATTCTGTTTTCCATCTACCATCTCTTCCTAGAAAATTCATCTGTTTCCAAGTTTCAATTTTATTATTATAATTTGATAACTTCAAAATTTATATCTCGGTCCAAATATCTCTCCTGGATACAGATCTATATATTCAATTGCCTAATGGATTTCCCTCCTTGGATGTCTTCCTGGTTCCTTAAATTCAATATGTGTAAGTCTACTGATCACTGTCCCACACTCCAGTCTCATATCATGAAATGGCATCACCACATCCAACCCAGTGTCCATAGCACRTACCTCAGGCTTCCCCATTCTTCACCACATATTCAATATACAAAAAGGCCAAACTGACCTCATCTTCTCATGTATCTTTCAAAGTATCCAATTTCTCTCAATCCCAACTGCCACCAACCAAGCCCAAATCACTATAATCAGTTACTAGATTATGTTTTCAATCTGGTGACTGGTCTTCATGTTTTCAATCTTGTTCCACTGCAATCTACTCTCAATGTAATAGCCAGGGCTAGATTTCTAAAATTCAAATCTCATCACATCATCCTCCTACTTAAATCTTTCAATGCTTTCCACTATCTTCAGAATAAAATCCAAACACTCTGATTGTCTCACCAGCAGCCTATAATCTCTGAGAAAGCAGGGACTGAATTTATTTTCCTTATTGCTGTATTGTCACTATGTGGCACAGAGTCTGCCATGAAGTAGGTATACAACATATACCTGGTGACTGAATAGCTGAGTGGATGCATGAACAGTGTAATATAGCTCTTTCTATAAAAACATAATCTTAAATACAAAGATATGTTTATTATTTATAATCATAAATTTAATTAGAATTTCAGTTTTACCAAACACTTTCATAAGCATTCTCTACACTTAGCCATTAAAGAAGTATCTTACTTTTTGTATGACTAGTATCTTTGGTTTGTAAAGTATTTACGAATACCAATTCTGATACTATGCATCAAGAGACCTAGACTGAACACTGGTAATACGTAACTCTGGAATTATCTTTCTCTGTAATTATCATTGGCCATTGTTCTCTCAAAAGGACCTAGCACATAATCATTAATATTCATATTTCTATAACACTGCAGCTTTGTTGAGAAGTGTAATGGCAGTAGGGCTGAGGAGAATTCCATCTATGAGCCTTCATTCTCTCATTCTCGAAGTCATAGTACTCTTTTAGAGTTGTCCAGCCAACACTAATGTAATCCCAGATATCTTATCACTTTTCTTCATACTAAATTTCAATTATTGAAAGCTTCAGTTGTCCCTACAAACCTTCAAATAACCATCCTGAATAACTAACCCATTCTATGAAAGGAACCACACAAGACAGCCCAAACTGAACAACTATTTTTCTTCTCAAGACAGCTCCTCAGGGCTAAGACCCTACATATACAGCAACACCTTCCTGTAATACAAATAAAAATTTCACAGACATCTCCATCAATAATACTACCTAATTTTATAAATGGGATTTTAACTGGGTTCACATTGGACATCTTGGATTCTCTTTGCAGATGATGAGATGTCTAATAAAGCAATGAATAAATATGCTGACTTACTATACAAAAGTCTAGCTTAAAGACTTAATCCCAACACAGGTAAACCAAAACCAACAAAAGAACCATTGACTTACCTATTTGTTTCTTTCAAACCAATGTATGCTTGTGCTATTTCACCTTTATCTTTCATTTTCTGTACATCTTCCAAAAGTATTGTGGAATCTGTCATTGTATTCTGCAGAAGGAAATGCCATATTTCCACATTAAGACTCAACTCAAAAGTTTTGGACCACATATAACATACTCCTTTCCTCCAGTTGAGGGGGTGGAGCTATAAGCGTCACCACACCTGAGCCCCATTTGAACATCAGCCCCAGCCCCAGCCCCTGTAACTATATGAGAGTTTGGCCCCATCAGTCCCTCTTCTGAGAATGCTTAATACTACACAGGGAATGAGATTCTAGAGTACCACTGCTCTGTGAATACCACCACTGATAGTCTATGTGTTTTATATTATGTAAAAATTATACATACATACATACATACACATATATAGTATATTATACAGTATTAGAAAAAAAACACCAAACAGTATTTTAATGGCATAAAAGAGCCATTCTTTTTACTACTTTCTGACCAGTTAGAATGAAACAAACACCCAATAAAAAACTGAAAGCTTGACATAAAGCTTTTTTTTTTTTTTTTCTTCATTTAAAACTCAGGTCAAAGAAGGTGGCGTTCATATAATATGTTTAAGAAAAATTTAAAAGTTTTACCCTACATCTTTAGATGTATAGAAGTGGGATTTGGATCCTTTTAAATATCTACCATCTGCAGCTATTTAATTCTTTTTTTCCTCTGGTACGGTATAGTGTGATAAATAAGCCTTTACAATAAACATCTGATGGATTAGAATTCCTAATGATTTTATGTAAAAAAGACTTTTTTGCCAACATTTCTTATTTCATTCTTTTCCTTTTTTGGTCCAATCTCTCTCTGACAACCAATACAGTTTCAAAATCTTGCTTCTATTCAGCCTCTTTCTATGTCTTTTGAGCAGGGAAGAAACAGAAAAGAAGCATCATTTCTCTATTGTCTCTAAAGATTGCTATACTTTAGAACCCAAAGGCCCTCTCTGTCTAAATAGTATATATTCTGATCTTTAGTCAACATCTGCTGTCAGGTCTCTCAATGAGCTGGATTTAATAGAATACACTTCAAATATCATGACCTTGGAGACCAGTTCCAAGATAACTTTAATGCCAATTAGAGATTTACAAATGCTTGTTTTTGAATTTCAATGTGTATAAGAAACATCCCTGGAAAAAAATAACCAAAACAATATTCCACTCTTCCCCTAATGCTGTTCTTTTGAGTTTATAAATGTATTCTTTAAGATGATCAAATATAATCAGAGAAAAACCATTAATATTAAGCTTATATTTTATTGAATTCGAAAATATTTACCATAAATACTATATAGAACATTTCTTTATTTATGTTTTATAAATATTTTAGCATATATTTCAGAGAATTTCTTTTTTCTTTTTCTATAAAAGGAAAAAAAAAGTCTTTCTATTCCAGAAAGGGTCATTCTCAGATTTTAAGACCCGTAAGTGATAATGTCCAAAGAACCAAGTTAATACATCAAATAATGATGCATGTGTGCTCTAATGCCTGAGGATCTATATGAAATGGTTTTGAACTTTTAGAAAACTAGATAACTTGATATAATTAGTTGGTTCAAGGGAAAGAAAGACATCTTAGTATGCAGCTGTGCTAGGGAATAAGTAWTCAATCTTCTGCCATCCTACCTACCTTAACTAAAAAGTGGCAGCTGGGGGCTGGGATCAGATCTGGACCACCAGCATTAGGAAGTTCCTGACTGACTTCTCAGAGTTTGTTTTCCCAAGCCAATGACCAGAAGTTTTGAAAGGGTAGGACTATACATGAAAATCTCGTAATATTTTCACTCAGTAACTGAAAACAAGATGTATTAGAGAAATTTGAYTTTGCAACCTCATCAGAGGCCACTTTTTATTCTCCCTATGAACCCTGTACTCAGGGGGATGAAAAGGAAAGTAAAGGACATATGTTCAGTTCTTCAGATTCCTCCTCACCCTTGCTTGGCTATCAAAATCATGACTGGTAGAAATGAGAACTCAGAAGAGCTTGCACATCTGAGTGTACTCCAAGCTCTTCTCACCATTTGTATGGCTTACCATAATTACCACAGTGAGTCACAGAGCTGAGTTATAAGTCTCTTATCCAGACTGGAATCTAATATGATTATGTTTTCCCTATTAACTTTAAATAGGAAGGAGTCAAATAGGAAGTTAATTCATAAATATTGAAATAGGTTTGGTGGCCAGAAAGCATCAACTGCATATATTGGGGAATATCTGTAAGTTAAAGTTATAATTAAGTACCATAATTTGCTTAAAATTGGGAAAAAAACTTATAATTACCTTGTCATCCTGAAAAATCACAAGTTAGCAAGCACAAAAAAATAAATGAAGAAAACAGTAAATCTTTAGTTCCATGAATAAATACAATATATACAGTATTATACATATTATATATATAATAAATACAATTATTCCATCAATGAATCCCCATTACAAGAGATAAAATCTAACCTAAAAACAATCATGAGTTGCTTTCCCTAAAACAATGTAAAAAAATTACTATTCATGGAACTGGCATAAGGTGGACATTAATATGTATTTATATGATGGCACCTTTTATTTTTCAGGGCCAAATGCTTGAAATTCCTTCTTGAGTTGTTTTGGTTTTTCTAGTTGTAAAATATTTTTGAGTATGTGAGAGAATAATCCTTGTGTTAATGCATATGGGTAAAATTTTTTCTCTAGGTGTATGAGAGTTACAGTGATTCCTGACTAGGACGACATTTGTCCAAGTGAACTCTCCCAGAATATTCTGGAGTTGGAGCTGATGAAACAGATCTGGCTGGTCTGGATCATCCCCTAGCTCACTGGGTGTTGCTCACCACTGCCCTGCAAAGGAGTTGTGAAATGATGTGTCTCTCTGAGCAGAAAACTGAGTGGAACAAATAGCCACACAATGTTTGGAAGGTCTCAATTAGTGTCAGGTCCCTTTTCCTAGGAGAGGACAAGACTGTTGCCAGGTGTGGGCTGGGAGCTGGGTGAGCAGGAACCTTGCTTAAATAGGAACAGCCCACTGGGGGCAGGAGAACAGTTGTCACATGGGATGTGTGAGCTGGATAAGTAGGTATGTGTGATTCCAGAACTATATGCTCTGTTAACTAGATTGTTTKTATGCCCCTTGCTTCATTTCTTTTTCTTTCTCTTAATTTTTTACTAAAGTTTCTCATGAGACTATCACATTGTATATCATAAATATATACAATTATTATTTGTAAATAAAGGAAACTGAAGAACAACTATCAGTTTGTCACAGGGGAACCACAGAAAAGAATCTTGATTTTTGACTCTGCTCTAACTAGGTTGCAGTGCCTTGTTGCTCTAGGACCCTCCATGGTGGTAGCCCAGGGAACCACCTGAGAGGTCCTGTGGAAGGAATAATCTATATGGCCCAGCCAAAATGCAGAGTCCTCTTTTGGAACTTGCCTTACTTTAGACTTAGGGGTTTATGATTTGTTTTAAAATAAGGAAGTTCATTTCCCTTTCTTTTCTTTTTTGCTGTGCCTGGGATTGAACTCAGGGCCTCGCACATGCTGGGTGTGTACTCTACCACTCAGCTACATCTCCAGCCCTAAGGAAGCCCATTTATTTATATAACTCCACTTTTTACTGGATTTTAAAACCAAATATTTATTCAAATACTTCATTTTTAAAATTTTATATTTTCCTGGATTACTGCTGATCCCAAAGTGTGAGTTGCCTTTATCAAATCCAAATATAATGTACTAGGTAAAGGATCTAAACCACATAATRAATGCTCTCTCCTATCCCCAATTTCCCACCCATTTCTAACAGATGTGGTGACATATTTTTTTAGGTGTACAGATCATCTTATATCATGGGCATTTTTTTTATATGRCAATGTTATGTAGCTGGGATACTTTATTGCCTCAATTCCTGGTAACATTCTTTTGCACACACATGGGCAGGGAGACAAGCCAGATTTTGATCTAACCATTCATATTTCCTCTGATGGCAGATGATAAAAAGGCTTACTTCTTATCAGGGTATGGCTSTGCTGGGCCTCAAACTGTATGGGGACAGAGAAGGACTTCCCAGGACCATTTATATCCTCAGTGTGAGAATGCTTTCTGTTGAATCCTTTAACAATGCCCTCCCAGCTGGGACAGCTCCTGCTATTAAATAGAACCTTTGGAGTGAGCAGAATYATCTCCATGTAACTTCCACTGACTGATCTTATTTATAACCTTTTTACATGTTATCTTTCCAGTTAAACAGGTTATTTTCAACAAGTAATTTTAAAGTCACATTTGTCTCCCCAGAGTTGAACAATTTATAGATTTTTGTATTCAATAGGACTTTATTTTAGACCAAAATTTATTGGGGCCAGATTACCACAAAAAAGATTTACCTATTCATTTAGGCACTGGGAATTTAACCCAGGGATGCTTTACCACTGAGCTACATCCCCAGCCCTTTTTATTTTTTATTTTGAGATAGGGTCTCACTAAGTTACTTAGGGCCTTGTTAAATTGCTAAGGCTTGCCTCAAACTTGGGTTTCTGCTGCCTCAGCTTTCTGAGCTGCTGGGGAGGTGAGCACCACCATGCATGGCAAAAGATTCATTTTAAAAGAGCTTGGCTCACGGATGAGAGATAAAATTCCAATAATCTAATCACTTGGGATGTTACTTGCTTTTTGTAATTGGAATTTTTTTCAAACTATAATTGGCATTTGCAACAGTTTTAAAGTGACACTAAAGTATTTACAAAAATGAATCTTTCATCTTATTAAAAATATTCTTTAAGTGTTTGCTTCACTATAAATTGGAAGGGAAGGATAAGAAGAAATGAAGAACAGTCCCCAAATACTACCTTAGCCATCCATGTCTTGTGCTTACCTTGGGTTGGATGGCCTCTTTCTGGCTCACCAGCTGAGACCTTAAGATAAGGACTTCTTCCTTGCGGACATCAAGCTCCTCACTCACAGAGGTCAGCTGCTCCATAAGGACCCGGTAGGCAGGTGCCCCTGGAGCAGTCACCTCTGGGGCACTTTTCTCACTGAGAGCCTTTCGTAACTCATTTAGCTCATTTTTCAGTTTTTTGTTTTCTGACTCTAGTTCTTGACGCTGAGTGAAGAGATAAATGAAAGTTCATTGCTTGTCATCCTCAGCCTTACATTGAAATACTCATCTTCCCTTAAGACAGTAGAACAACTCTGCTGGTAAAAGGGCATGAGAGCTCCCTTAGTGAATGGCTTCCCATGCTCTACTGGGAACTCTGCAAATTAAGGGAGTCTGACATCAAGTGGAATTGAGCAAGGTTAATGGTAGTTTGCATCACCAACCCAAATTCCAATCAAATTTATTCTAGACTGGTTCAGTGAGTATTCGCAGCTCTTGAGAGATTGTTAAGTCCCAATGGGCAGGTTTAGCTGGTCCCAAGAAGCCCTGGTTTTATTTGTAGATAAGTATATGGGCAAATCTGAATACGCAGTTGGTTAGGATATTTCCAATGAACAGTTCAGATAGGTGGACCCCTGAAATTTTTAGTAGTGTCCTTATTTCCTTTGTAAAGCTGAATAGAAAGAACACTGAAATTTCAGGCTTTAACTTCTTTTTTTAATATTTATTTTTTAGCTATAGGTGGACACAATATCTTTATTTTATTTTTATGTGGTGCTGAGGTTTGAACCTAGTGCCTCACATATGGTAGGCAGGCGCTCTATCTGAGCCATAACCTCAGCCCCCAGGCTTTAACTTCTTAAAAAATAAATAAATATATTTATTGGCACGGAGGATTGAACCCAGGAACACTTAACCACTGAGCCACATCCCCAGTCCTTTTTAATTTAGACATGGTCTTACTAAGTTGCTGAGGGCCTCGATAAATTGYGGAGGCTGGCCTTAAATTTGTGATCCTCCTGACTCAGACTCCTGAGTTGGTGAATGGAATTACAGGCATGTGCCATTGCACCACAGGGGCTTTTAATTTAAAAATATGATATCATTTAAACTTCTAAAGTTCCTTTTAGTGTTTCAATGACATTAAATAATACATTATTCTGACTTCTTTCCTGTGTGAGGTGCTTGTGAAGAGGCCTTGGAGGTAGGGGAGAGGCTGAATGCCTCTCCCTTTAGCCAACAAGATGGACATATATCCTTCACCTTCTCAGTACTTTCCCATGCTCCAATTATCCTCAGCCCACCAGCTGGGTCTCTCCATGCTGTTCAAATCATGGTAACGGGAACTCAGAACAGAGTGACAATGACAACAAAAAGCAAGTGTCACAAGATACCAGTTGGGAAACACTGAAGTAGACAGGGATTTATAAGTCTACTTTTTTGTGGGAATGCCATGGTGCCTTATTTAGCACATGACCCAAGGTCAATTAYAGTGTAAGTGAAACACTTGTATATATACAAAGATCAAAATCCTTTTATTTATTCCTAGAGAAACAATTTTGGATGTGTAGCATCATATCAGGTCTTTTACCAAGTAATAGAATAACTGTTCTATGAAAATGAATGCCCTCTCCTATCCCCAATTTCCCACCCRCTGGTAATCAGATTTGCATTGCTCATTTTTATAAAAGAAAACACATTAAAGTCTTTACTTTGATGGCTGAGCTCAGGTACAGTGTTTCTTAAACTTTAATGAGATCAGAATCACCTAGAGTTCTTGTTAAAACACAGATTGCTGGGCTCCACCCCTAGAAATTCTGATTCAACGGTGTAATAGTGTGGGGTCTAAAATTTTGCATTTCTAGCAAGTTACCAGGTGATATTGATCCTGTTGGTCCAGGGACCAGATTTTGAGAACCACTATTCTAATATGTTGTGAATTGTGGTTTAATTCATAATAGAGAAGTCTTTATTCGTCCATGTTTATATAAGGCAAAGAATATCTGGAAAGCAGATTGCTACTCCTATGCCTTTGGTCTGTCCCTTCATATCCAATCAGATTTTTATGGTGGCAAATGGAACATTTGAACCTGGGTAGTGTAACACTAGAGTCCATGTTCTTTACTACTGTAGCCTCAAATAGAGGCTTCCCCTGTTCCTGTTTAGAATGAAGTCCAGTATAAATGAAATAGAATTTGTAAAAGGAAATAGGCCAGACATAGTGCTTGAATAAGACTTAGGTTGTAAGAACTGGTGCATTTTCCAGCTCTTAAGGATGTTTTCTGAAAAAAAAGAGAGGCTCTGAGCAGGTCTTTTGCCAAAGTAAAGTCCTGAACAGAAATTTTCCATTACCTTGAGGGACTCATATTCTAGTTCCGCACCTCTAATTTGTGGTCTTTCTTCTTCCTGGGGGAAAAAATTAAGTAAAAACTTAAATATATTTTAATTGCCACATTTTAACTCTTTTTTACTTGTTCTACACAAAATAATGGAGAGTTAACCAAACACGCTAGATTAAGGTGCTTCTGGGCTGAATTCTGATTTAAGAAACTAAAGAATAAGATATAAAGTCTCAGTCTCCCTGCTCCGGGTGCATCCTTGGCTCTTGGGTAGAATGGCATTGCTCACCTTTGCCTTGCTGCGTAGCATCTGCTCTTCCTTGCGGTCCAGCTCATCCTGCATCACCTGCTTTTCCTGCTCCAGCTCAGTGACCCGCTTCTGGAGCTTGAGGAACAAGGACATGTCCAGAGGTACCTTCTTTTCGCTTGGCTCCTAAACCCCAGAAATCACAAGAGAGTCAAGAGAAGCAAGAAGTTACACAGGCCAAAACACATATAACCCTTGATAAACTGAAGGATAATTTAATAGCATTTAAAAAGTGTGTCAATTGGTTCCAAAACAGAATCACAGTAAGTACTACTAGAAAAAATAGTTATACTAATTAAAGCTGCAAAGAAATAACTATTGTCATAGAAGTTCTAAGTGTCATAATTGTTTTAACTTGTTTGCTTTAGATTTTAAGTTTTAATGAAGTAAAAAGAGACACCATATGTTAGATTTAATGTAGAAAATAAAGAATATTTTATGTGGGCATGTATGCATGTCAGTGAACAAATGAGAGATAGGCAGAGGTAGAGAGAGAGTGAGAGAGGGAAAACAACTTATTTAAATAAATGGTAAAAATATAATTCTGAATTGAAAGCAAATCTTGTCTTTCCAATTGTACACTTACAAAAGAATGTTCATTTTCTTGTTCTTCTAATATAAAAGCAAAACAGACTTTTATAGAATATTTAGAAAATAAGTACAACAAAGAAAATGCTAACATAATTCCATGTTCAGAGGAAAACCCACCTTATTTGCTTACTTTTTAAAAATGCATCTGTAGATTTAAAGAATTGGAATAATATTTCCATCATAAGTTTGTATTGATTTTTAAACTTACCACTGTATTACAACTGTTTTCTAAATGTATGATATTTAACTGTGTAGACAGGTATATCATTGTTTGTTTGGCTATTACCTTACTAATGGGCATCTGTTATTAAAATGTTATTAAAATAAATATCCCAGTACATTAATATCAAAACATTAATACTTTTATGTCAAGTAATTTGACCCAATTTATACTTCAATCAACAATCACTACCTTGCCTGGAATAAAAATGGCTGCTGAAATAAAAAAAAAAAAAAAATTAAGCTACTTGTTAAAGCAAAAGTAGCATCTCAATGTTGTTTTCATTTGCATTTCTTTGACTTTTCAGAAGGTTGAATAATTTTTATATTTCCAGAAATTTTATATCCATTAGCTACCTTTAGTCTTTAATGAATTTTGAGCAATGTCACACCAGTTTTAAAAAGGTCTAAGAAGAATCAACTGTAATCTGGAGGGGAGAGGCAAGGTGCTGGGTAAGTAAGTTGTTCTCCCTCTCTCTCTCTCTCTCTCTCTCCCTCTGCCTATCTCTCATTTGTTCACTGACATGCATACATGCCCATATTCAATACTCTTTATTCTCTACATTAAATCTAACATGCCTGTAATTCCAGTGGCTTGGGAGGCTGAGGCAGGAGGATTGTGAGTTCAAAGCTGGCCTCAGCAAAAGCAAGGCACTAAGCAACTTGGTGAGACCCTGTCTCTAAATAAAATACAAAATAGGGCTGGGGATATGGCTCAATGGCTAAGTGCCCCTTAGTTCAATCCCCAATAGCACCACTCCCCCGCAAAAAAAATGAACTAAGAAGTGTGAATTGATAGTCTAGGATCTTTACCAGAAAGTCTGYTCTAACTTAGCAGAACAGATATAACATCTTGTCTCAAAACTACTATAAAATTTCATTCATTCTTGGGCTGGGGATGTGGCTCAAGTGGTAGCGCGCTTGCCTGGCATGCGTGCGGCCTGGGTTCGATCCTCAGCACCACATACAAACAAAGATGTTGCGTCTGCCGAAAAAAAACTGAAAAATAAATATTAAAAAAATTCTCTCTCACTCTCTCTTTAAAAAAAAWTTTTCATTCATATAAAAATCTATTTCTAGGGCTGGGGGTGTAGCTCAATGCTAGAGCACTTCCCTACCATGTGTGGGGCCCTGGGTTCAATCCCCAGCACCTTGCCCCCCCCCCMATATTCATTTTTATATATCCTACAAACACCTATATTTTAGTTTATTTATGATTCAAACATTCCATATTATATATTTTTAGTGTTTATTTAATCTTTTAAAAACTATAATAGAATCCTATTAATGAAGATAATGATCCATTCATAGTATCTAAAATGTCATCAATTGAAACTTGTTCTTCTAATCTTGAATGGGCATTTCAAAAGAAATCTTATTAAAATGAGATGGGGTAGATTTGCATCTTTAGATATCAATTAAGGCTCCTTATAGAATTATTTGATTGCTAGATAAGAGCAAAATTCTACAAATAGGAATAATAAAACAGGAGGTGGCAGAACATAAAAGATTTGCCAAAGGAAAAACTACTTGAGGTATAAATATTGATAATTACTTAAGAGCACTCTGGATGGTGTCCATTCTTATCCCTAATGACACATCTAATTAAAGAGATGTCATTTATCCTCTCTATAAACATGAGCAAGAATAATCTTGCATAGAGAAGTGTCTGGTATTTTGTTTTGCTTTCCTTCTTTAGCAAGGACTTTGTCACTTGAGGCCTTATGAAGAGAGTGAAGCTTTGAAATTAACCTAAAAAGTAATACCAATCTCTCATCTGGGGACTATCAAAAGATAAGAGAAGTTTTTTACAAAATTACGATATACCTGGCAGTTATTCTGTAATTATTCCTAACGAAAAAATTGAGAAAAGTTATGGTGGACCCTTGTCTTGGTGTGAAGGTATCAAGAAGCTAGAATAAAAGCAGAACTGGGATAATTAATCAACAGCTACTAGGAGAGGTAGGAGAAGCAATGGTTCTGAAACAATGTAAACCCAGCCCATAAAGATGCTGGAAATGTGGGAAGGGCTGTAAGGCAAGTGGAGCTGGCATGTTAGATCAGGTTCTTCAGAAGAAATAGCAGAGGAGGTGCCATCATGACAATAAATCAAGGTTTGGCAAAGCTAGAAAAATATGAATTCCTTTTTTACATCAAAGTTTGCTGTTATTACATGACTGAGGTGGACTTCTGTTCCAAAAGTCTRAAGGATTCCTATTTTTTAATTAAAAAAATTTAAAAAGTCTTAACTTAGGAATATTACAGGAGTCAATATTGTATTTTTAAGGGGCAATTTGWAAATCTGACCACTACAAAAGTAGTTGCAAGAAGAAACTCTGACCTGGAAGCTGTGACCATATAGAAGTAGAAATTAATAGCTACACATAGTCTTCTAAGGTACCTCTTACTTGCCCATCTTCTCTTCTGATAAACAATCTTTTTCTATTATCAGTTATATAGATATAAACCTTTCTGACCCTGACCACATACAGAATTGGGAGGATGATCACTGAAGCCTGTTATTAGAGCAAAATAATTTATTTATTGAATACTTACTATGGATCAGACACTATTCCAAGCATTTTATAAAAATTAATCCATTTAATATTAAAACATCACTGTAAGTTAAGATAATAATAGCACCCCCTCCTCACAGATGGGGAAACTGAAGCACAGAGAGACTGAGGCTAAGGTTATTGACTCAGTCTGAGGGAGAAATATTACGAGTCTCTCCGTGGGAAACAGAGAGTTCAAACCAAAGTCAGCTACATTGCAGATGTATGCATTTAGTCACAAGAGACTATTTACAAACATGACTTGCTCAGTGAAAAGCCTGCCTATTACACAAAGACTTCTGGGTACAGGACCTACTGCTGGGGGGGTTAGTGTATGAGAAGGAAAGTGCACAACACTCCAAGATATGTCTGCAATTTGATGAGTATAATCATATTTCATCATTCAATAAAGACAAAAACTGTAGTAAATCCCACTTTAATCTCTCAACTTGAGAAAATTTCAGCAGAAAACAGGCAATAGTTAGAAACATAAAGTTTACCCTTCCCTAAAATCTTTAAGAATCTTGAGAAAACCTGACAAGAGCAGAGACCCTGACAAAAAACTTATGAGTAAAAGTTAGATGAAGTATGGAAGAGTTTTGGAGTTAAAAATATAACATCCTGGGCTGGGATTGTGGCTCAGTGGTAGAGCACTCGTCTCTCATGTGGGAGGCACTGGGTTCAATCCTCAGCACCACATAACAATAAATAAATAAAGGGATTATGTCCATCTACAAATAAAAAAATATGTATTTTTTATTTTTATTAATTATTGATGGACTTTTATTCATTTATTTGTTTATATGTGGTGCTGAGAATTGAACCCAGTGCCTCACACAGGCTAGGCAAGCACTCTACCACTGAGCCACAACCGCAGCCCCTACAAGTAAAAAATATTAAAAAAAAAAAAATAACACCCTCAGTCTAAAACATTAACAAAAGCTCTCCTTGCTCAGAATTATCTACAGAATCTTTCTAGCAGACACATTCCTTTTGTCATGACTTCTTACCATGCAGGAGCTACTCAGGTGATATTACATTAAAGTGGATGGTTTATAAACTCTCATTGAGACCAAAAACCTGCAGTCCTAAAGCTTTCATATCCATTAGAAGCTCAGAAATCCTAATTTTGATTTTTTTTTKTGTGTGTGTGTGYGCTGCTGGGGATTGAACCCATAACCTTGTGCATGCAAAGGCAAGCACTCTACCAACTGAGCTATATCCCCAGACAGAAATCCTAATTTTGAAATCTTCAAAGTCTAACTTTACACCTGTAATCCCAGTGGGAGGCTGAGGCAGTAGGATCACAAGTTCAAAGCCAGCCTCAGCAGGAAAACATTAAGCAAGTTAGTGAGACTCTGTCTTAAGAAAGCAGGGGAGGGGGGATGCGCTGGGAATGTAGCTCAGTGAAGTGCCCATGGGATCAATCCCAGTACCAAAGAGAGAGAGAGAGAGAGAGAGAGAGAGAGAGTCAAGGCCATCAGTCCACCAATGGTTCTTCCAAACATACATGCCTTTCTTCTCATCAAGAGATGGTACCCAGTACTTCCACCCAACAGAGAGACAGAGAGGCAGACAGACAGATGGATAATCTATTTTTTTTTTCTGCTCCTTGAATGTAGAGTAGCTTTATAATTTTCTTTKACTACCATGTGGCAAAATTGACACTGGGTCATTCTTATGGGACCTCTTTTACTCTTGAACTCTTAGAACCCACCTACTTGCCGCAAAGACAAAGTTCCAAAGTAGACAATCTAAACAACTTAGCTGACTATAACCACACAAGGCACTCCTTTACCACTACATGGAATAGAACTACCTAGTTAAATCCCACAGAATAATAAGCAATAATAAATTGCTGTTTCAAAGCACTAAAATTTCTGATGCTAGCAGTTACCCTCAGGCCACTAGACAATAAGGTACAACCCCAACCCCACTATGTACTGCTCACACTTTTGGATACATGAGCCCAGACATATGTTAGCAATAGAAATGAAAGACAGGAGAATTGTAATGCAGAATGCCTGGATGAAGGCAGTAGAGTATGATATAGCAAAGGACATGAACTCCAGAGAGATGAGCCTCAGACTGACTACTGGCTCTGGCACTTAAAAGCTGTGAATTTGAGCAAACTATAAGTCTCGTGTGTTAAATGACAATCCAACTACATGACATTTTCTTCAAAATTATCAGAAAGAAGTGGCAGAAACTCTTCCTTCTTAAGTAAAASTAAGACAAGAAAGGAGAGAAGCATTTAATTTCTTTAGCTATTTTGCCAGACCAAGTCTATTTCTGACTTGGCCATTTTTTTAAAAATTATGATAAAAATAGAATAGCTGTGCCTGAAATTAATATCATATTTGAAAAGGAGAGCTGAGACCTGGTTGGGAACAATCTAACTTAAAGCCACTGTATTTTTGCAATTAAAATAACACATCATTTTAGTTTCATACTATATAACATAGCACAATTGCAGTATATTTCTAAATTATTTCCCCTTAATTTTTGTGGAAGAAAATTACATTGGTTAAAAACTAGCATGAAACATAGGCAAAAGTTTTGTTAAATTCTTTGGTACTCGTATTTAGAATACTGAAGGACAAAGTGCTTAGTTTATTTATAACTTATCACAGCCAGAAATAAATTCACGATAGCCTAGATTTTTTTCTTAATACATGAAATATGTTAAGGTGTAAAAGGGAATTCTTAAAAGAAACTATTGCCATTAAAATTATATTAAAAATTAAAATGTGGGACTGAGGGTACATAGCTCCGTGGGTTCAGTACATGTTAGCACAAAAAAGTAAGTAAGATAAAATTTAAAAGTTCATATGTGCATTGACAAAAACATATGCAGTAAGTATATATGTACACATCTAATTAAGTGCCTACAAGTTATGTATTAGAAATGATCCCTATTAACAATAGCATGGTCATATCCCACGTTTTAGTCACAGGCATCTAAAATGTACCTCTGTTCTTGATGGAATATCTTCAGTATCTGCAATTTCAGAGCTAAAGGTATATTCGGACTCATTGCTGCTATGGGTGGAGTCTGTTCTCTTGTGTCCAGGCTTAGGCACATTCTGCAAGGCAAATAACCCAAATATAATTAATACATTATTAAACTAGACATAGTTAAGGCAACAGTCATCTTTCCTTAGTTCTCATCTTCCCTCACTGACTTGTACTGATGCCCAGATTTGTTTCATGCCATCTTGGTCAGATCCTTACAAAGGGTCACCTCTTCTCAAAGAAAGGTATACAAGCATATTGTGACAAGAACAGTTGTAAAACCCAGCACCCAAATGAAAACTATTATCAGCAGAGACCCTTTGGGTCTTTAAAGTTTTGAGTGCTAAGCCACACTGGGGAAAGTAAGAAAACTGCTCTAAGAATCCTCTGAAAACCCCTGGGGGTTAATAATTCAGGAAGTCCAGGTGATACCTTTATGATATATATCACTATGAAAAATCAATGTTCAAAAGCTTATGGGGAGGGCTRGGGATGTGGCTCAAGCGGTAGCGCGCTCGCCTGGCATGCGTGCGGCCCAGGTTCRATCCTCAGCACCACATACCAACAAAGATGTTGTGTCCGCCGAGAACTGAAAAATAAATATTAAAAATTCTCTCTCTCTCTCTCTCACTCTCTCTTTAGAAAAAAAAAAAAAAGCTTATGGGGAATAAAAAAGTTAAGCAAATACAGCCTTAGGCCAGCCCAATGTGCATCCAATGTAGAGAGAAGATCCAAAAAAAACCCYAGAGCCTCTGAAACGATATAGAAGCAGGGGTGTATGCTAGAGGGGAGAATCACCAAACATGAAGCCAAAGGCCAACATGATTCCATTTGCTTTACATAAGAGTGCCTATCACTTAAGATTTCTAGCCAAATTCTACAGCTGAATGGGATAACATTTATTTAATAAAGGGCTATGTCATTAATAATAAAAAGTGGGTTCATGTAAACACCCAAAGATTTTTTTTTTTTTTAAAGAGAGAGTGAGAGAGGAGAGAGAGAGAGAAAGAATTTTTAATATTTATTTTTTAGTTCTGGGCGGACACAACATCTTTGTTGGTATGTGGTGCTGAGGATCGAACCCGGGCTGCACGCATGCCAGGCGAGCGCGCTACCACTTGAGCCACATCCCCAGCCCCGAGATTTTTAACAAGCTTATTAAAAATGGGAAAGGACTGGGGAATATAGTTCAGTGGTAGAGGACTTGCCTAGCATGTGTGAGGCCTTGGGTTTAAGCCCTAGTGCTGCTGCTAAATAAATAGATCCTTATTTATTCCACACGCACTTATCACTAAACAATGAATACCTTTATAGTTTTTGCAGTGCCGGGAACTGAACCAGGGACTTGCCATTTGCTAGATAAGTATTCTACCACTGAGCCACATCTCCAGTCCTGCTATGTTATTTAATGTAACTTTTAGCCCAGGGCAATGCTTACGTGTTCTGGGTTTGAAACACAAGAAAGACCTAGGTAAGAATCCTAGCTATGCCACTTACTTGTCMCTATCAAACTTCTTGAGGCCTCAGTTTCATCACTAGGATGAAAGAGCTAATATTATCATCTGTTTGGTAGGATTTATGTAAGGATGAAATACGAGTGTGCAAGTAGAGTTCAACAAGTGCCTGGCTCATAACAAGCATTCAATTAATGTTAACTGCTACTGCTGTAACTGTTGAAAAAATCTTCAATAATTCAACAACTTCCTTGTAGTGACCTTTGGGTTTCCAAGTTTTTAGGATTCTGTTCCCCTGTTCATTGTGTATTCAATTACAAGGACAATGCACTTGACTTAATTATCATGTTCTTTGAAGAKTCACATCTTGCTTCTCTTGCTACTTATCTATCATTTCTCCTGTAGTAACTTTTCCCCCCCAGAAACTGTTTTATTATGATTGTTGACATGATTTCCTCCTTACTTGGAATTTATTTATCTTTACTTCATAATTCTGGATTCCCTTGACTCATTTTACTTTTATTGTTAGCTTGAAACTCTTCAGCCCTGGATCAGTCTTTTCTACATTGCCTCTGCTCCCATAATACCTGGAAAATTGAATGTTTTTGGAGAAAAAAAATCTACAACACTTCTTATACTAGCTAGGTCAACAATTCTATGTCCTGGCAATCAGTGACAGTTAACTCACCAGTGTTCTTTGGTGTGTACATCACATAGATTACAGAAAGCCTTTCGGGCAGTCTTATAAATTCCCTTCCCTCCATCCACTTGAGGAGTCTATTTACTACAAAATGATTCATTATCTCTGGATTGCAGACTGAGAACACCATTTGCAAACAGTGTCAATGAACTATTAGCCAAGACCCATTTGTTAGCTATGTAAACATTAAAATATTTAATATTGCCATTAATATTTTAGTTGTCCTGAATTTTAAAGTCAAATTTTTATTCTTTGCAATTCTTGGCAGATACTCTCTGCACTTCTACAATCTTGATTATATATCTGGAGCTAGGAAATGGTACCTAATGAACAGCTGAGTAGGAAGCAAAGAACCTTTGATCTTCTTCCATATGACTTTTTCTTTTTCCTTTCTCTGACCATTTTGTGACCCAGAAGGAATGAGAGTGAGTCACAGGCATTCAGTGAAGAGAATTAAGGGCCAAAAATAAGAAATCAAGACTCTAAGCTATTCTTGGAGCACTGCTGGGAGCAGAATGGACAGCAGGCAGAGATTTGCTTAGCAGGAAGAAGTAGCTGTGTTAAGTCGCTGGAGGATGGCTATTACTGGAGGGACTTTTCTAGAGAGATGACTACCCTGTTGATTAAACAGACTCATAACCTCAAGATATCTCTAGAATATGTTCAGTGATTATGTATATGGCACACATTTCTCTCATTTTATTTTCTCTGACTCACAAGGTATATACTGTTAATGAATCTGAGAAAGYCTATAGAAAAAAAATCTGTTTAACTTGGTTGATTATTTGACCTCAGAATCATTTCTTTTCCAATGCTGCTTATTAACATTTCAAATAGGTAGTGGTCTCAGAAATGCCCGGTAGAATACAAAGCTTAGCTCTAACAATAACTGAAACAAAGGTTAACCATAAGTGTTGGCATGGTTACCCAGTAACTAAATACAAATACACCAAAGAATTGAACTCTGGGGAACAWCAACACTGAAGGAGAGAAAAAAGGGCTCTAGAAAATCTAAGAATCAGAATATGACAGAAGAATTCTTTCAGTGGGGCCAAATGAAGTGTGGAAATGAAGACAAGACTCTTTAGACATATTATGGTGACCTGCTCCTACTTCTAATGTCTCTTTGCAAATATAAATCATGGTAGATCAGTGAGGTTTGAAATAACAGTCCAATGTAAGATTTATATTAGCTTTTATGCCTCTTTTAGACTAGATCTCATCTGCAAGGTTATTAGAACATTTCTTTTGTGTTATATCAATATCATCTCTTTTATTTTGACTTATTTTTAAATTTTTTTTAGTTGTAGATGGACACATATCTTTATTTACTTATTTTTATGTGGTGCTGAGGATTGAATCCAGTGCTTCACATGTCTCTACCACTGAGCTATAGCCCCAGCCCTTATTTTGACTTTTTAGACATCACATTTTAAAGAACTCTGTCAAGCAGATCCAGGCGGAAATAAAATTTGAAGCAAATCTCCTACTGTACACATAGAAAATTACTTTTCTTTCTATAACAGATTTTWAAGCATTTCTGGTCATTGGTACGATCAGGTTGCCTTTAAGGCAGATGCTGGCTGGTGTACACCTGTAATCCCAGTAAGGAGGCTGAGGCAGGAGGATCTCAAGTCTGAGGCCAGTCTCAGCAACTTAGAAGGCTCTAAGCAACTTAGTGAGACCCTGTCTCAAAAATAAAATAAAAAAGGGTTGGGAATGTAGCTCAGTGGCAAAGCCCCCCTGGGTTCCATCCCCAGTACAATTAAAAAAAAAATAGATATCTGTTTCCTGATAGCAGGGTAAATATTATAGGAAGAGTGGAGAACTATTGTAAATACAAAAAGTATATACTGGCAAATGCAGAAGAGTCCTTGAAATAGATAAGATAATTTGTTACAAATAGAGGGGCATTTTGCTTTTGTAGGAATTTACCTTGGAAATTACAATAAAACCAGTGGAGGGAATAATTACATAAATATTTGCTTTATATGCAAGTTTTCCATTAAACTATTCAATCTATAAAAAAAAATCCTGCTATTTTGACTTTCTGGTATTCTTTAGTCTAATCTTTAAAGTGTTTGACTAAACTGAGGTACTTAATGAATAAAGTTGAATGATTTCTGGGATTTACTTTATAATAATGTAACCACTGAATGGGGCTGGGAAAGGGTAGAAGAGGAAGCAGAAATGTGTTGACCATTTTGGAACCGGGGAATGGGTTTGTGGAGTATATGGAGGTTCATTCTACTATTCTATTTACTTTTGTATGTGTTTAAAATTTTTCATCTCAAAGAAAAGCAAAAGTGTTGGACTCACCACCATGAGGGTCATCTCTTCCTTGAGGTCATCATATCTTTCTTCTAGGCGACTGAACTCATTCAGAAGGTTCTGGTATCTCAGCCTTTCATCATTAAGCTCAAGTTCCAGTTGTTTTGTTTCTTCTACTAGCTTCTTCTCCATAGTTTCTAAAAGAAAGGGATATGCATGCCAGAGACGGCTCCATAGAAACTGAATGTAACAGGTACACTGATTCCAGTTATCAGCATAGGATCTTACTTTTAGCACCACTGTGATCTTCAAAAGAGTATCTAGTGAATGTAAGGCAAGAAAAAGCATGACCCAAAAATGAAATGATTTTTTCTTAATAATGACATCAATCATCTATTGAACTCTTCCATTTACTATAGTCTTAGATCTACTAGTTTATTCACTAGTCACCACACATTCTTGATAAACTTCAACTAGGTAAGCTCTAGTAAGTACATGTATTTTTTCATTCCAATGGTATTCCATTTTAGGAAATTTGTAAAATTATTTTGTCCAAATTAATGTATTCTTTCAAAAAATTAAAGCTATTTCTCTAGGGAATGGCAACTTTGAATGGATCTGGCTCTCCTATTCTGGAGTGTCTGTCTGCTTAACTCAGTCCCAGGGTTCTAGCCTAAAATTTTCCACCAAACTCCCCTGCTGTTGTATTGTTACTGTTTCTAATCAGATAAAATGCTCAGGTGTGGTCATCTGTGTTATTTACTTCTTGGCCATCTCCCATATGTGGCTTCGGGAACCCTGACTTTCCCATTTATCCACCCACCCTGACTTCTGTGTTGGTAGTTTGCATTTGGCTAGGAGACTTGAGATTATAGATCCTGCTGTAGACAAAACAAAACTTTAAAAAGCCTCATATCTTGGCCATATATTTTAACTAAATAACCAACCAAGTATTTTTATAAAATTAAGTGTCGCACTACTATGCTCATTTTATCCTCGTATTTTGTGGGCAAATTTTAAGATGCCCTATCTGCTTTTATTGCTTCAACATTTCTTTCTCCATCAGCTCCATCAGGCAAGAGCTGAAAATGTCTTGTTAYACTGCTTTCCTTGTGCTTAACGTAGTGCTTCCTAGGATAGGGCTTTCATGATTTTTTTTTTAATATTTATTTTATTTTAGTTTTCGGCGGACACAACATCTTTGTTTTTATGTGGTGCTGAGGATCGAACCCGGGCGAGGACACTACCGCTTGAGCCACATCCCCAGCCCGGGCTTTCATGATTTATAAAAGAATGGATGAAGGAATTTCTGTTCTCTGAAACATTCTATAAATAGCTTTTTGTGTGTGTATGTATGTAGTGTTGGGGATTGAACCCAGAGCCTTGTGCATGAAAGACAAGCACTCTACTGACTGAGCTATATCCCCAGCCCCAATAAATTGCCTTTTATTTTCACCAGTTTGCAAAAACTGTTTCAGGCTAAATTCTCCCTAGACAAATCCAGTGTTATTTCTTTATTCTAACACCTTAATTTCAAAATAGAGTTTTATATTTTTCCAAAAGTATTCTCATCATTTTTGGTCTTTCCATTGCATTCTATATCCCAGAAACCTCCTTCCCATGATGTTAGGAACTCTGTTTTCTCTTTTTCCTTTTGATTTCTTTTTTGGTTTCTTTTCTTGAACTTATGACTTAGTTATGTTCACTAATTCCAGGTTTTCTTCTCTTTCCTCAACATCATATCCATTGATTGGGAGGGAAGGGGTGGTATGGAGAAAACAGAGAGACCTCTTACCACCAGTCTTAATGGAAACTTTCATACTCATTGCTCATTTTCTCTCTAATGTTTTAATCTGGATTTGCTTGAGTTCCTAGTCGACACCCCAAACTCAATTCCTCTGATGGATTAAGAGATATTTTGATAGCTGATAAAGCATTACTTCAGGATTGTCCATGAGGTGTTTTCAGAGGATATCAGTATGTGAACTGCTGGACCAAGTGGGAAAGATCTGCCCCCAATGTGGGCAGGCACCATCCAACACACTGGGGGCTTAGTATGAAAAAGATAGAAGAGCAACTCTTACTCCTTCTTCCACAGACAAGATACTGTTTTTCTCTTGCCCATCAGAACTCTGGGTCTCTGGCTTTTGAATTCTGGGACTTGCACAAGCAGTCACCTGGGCTTTCAGGCCTTCTGACTCAGACTGAGAGTTAGTTACACCATCAGCTTCCATGGTCTTAAGGCCTTCAGACTTGGCCTGAGTCATGCTGCCAGCTTCTCTGGTACTCCAACTTGCAAATTGTGGGACTTCTTATCTTCTGTAATCATGTGAGTCAATTCCCTTAGTGAATCCCCTCTAGGATATTTACAGCTATCATTGGATCTACTTCTTTGTAGAATATTTATAACAGTCTAACAACTAATCTCATTAATTTGCCTCACACACAGGTACTTTTTCTTTAATTTCATCATTACTAATAAGATACCATTATTGTCTGGGTATCTCATGTTAAAACTTTAGGACATTTTGTCTTTTTTGAATACCTCATCAAAAATTATAATGTTCTAGTGACTATTTTTCATATGATATAGTCTCATTCCAACCTGTCTTTTCTCTTCCACTAATTATTATTGTTTAATATAAATGGAGATACTTTATAAATCACCACTATTTTAATTATACCACGAACAGCAAATAGAATAAATGTCCATATCTAAAAAAATTGAATATTTTATTTTTAGTTTGGTAGCAAAAAGTGGTTGATCTTAGGAGAATAATATTCCTTGGTTTAGCAAAAAATAAATAAGAAATAAGCAAGATCCAGAAAGATATCTGTCATGCTTTCTTCATTTGTGAAAACTAAATAAACTGATCTGATAGAAGAGAGTAGAATAGCGGTCACTAGATACTGGGAAGGATGGATAGTAGGGAGGAGGGACAAAAAGAAGTTAGATCATGAGTATCAAACAAAGGAAAGAAAGGAATTAGTTCTGGTATTTATTTATAGTATAGTAGGGTAACTATGGTCTATGGCAATTTATGATATATAAAATAAGCAGAAAAGAAGAATCTGAAGGTTTTCCACACATAGAAATGATAAACTACTTGAATAGATAGAAATGTTGGTTACTCTGACTTGATCATTATACATTATATACTTATATCAAATTATTGTATTTTACCCCATACAAATATACAATTATATCAATTTAAAAAAATAAAAATAAGTCAGGCATGGTGGTGCCCACCTATAATCTCAGTTAATTAGGTGGGAAACAAAGTGGGAGGCATGGGGACTGAAAACAAATTCCTTGCCTGTATGATTGTATCAAAATATACCCAACAACTATGTATAACTATAATTTACATATAAATACATCTATGTATATGTATATATAAATATATCTGTACATATATACCCATAAAGAGGATCAGAGAGCTGTGTTCCCCTAACACTATGTAAGGACACAGAGAGAAGGCACCATTATATAAACCAGGAAATGGGACATCACCAGACACTGAATATGCTATTACTTTAATCTTAGACTTCACAGCTTCCAGAAATGCAAAAAATAAATTCTAGTGTATATAAGCCAAAAAGGGGGGTGGAGGGTGGAGGTGAACCTTAGTAGTAGAGTGCATGCCTAACAGGCATGAAAGCCTGTTCAATTCCCAGTACTGTTAAAATAAAAATAAAAATAAATAAACCAATATACATAGAAACATACATCCCTTTATCTATCTATCTATCTATGATAGCTCAAGAATTCTTACAAAATCAATAATAATTCTATAAGTCATAACTGATAAATTACATACATAAAGCAAATTAACTTTTGAAAAAATCATATATAGCATTGACTGAATGAGTTCACACTGGTACACAGAGAAACCAGGCTTACAAGTTCAGCACTAAGTCAACCAAAATATCTGGGGCTCCTACAACTTCTAACTGTAAATTTACTGATGATAGCCTCAACTTTTTAAAATATTTAAGTGCTAAGTAATCTTGTAACTGGAAAAAATAAYGTAATAACTTATAAGACTTTGGTGTGAGGTTGGTTGGTGTATATATAGTATGTTGAGCTTACATAAGCCTTACCTGTCATCTCCTTAGCCTGCTCCACAATAAGGTGATTAAGGGTCTCTTTTTCCTGCTTCAGCAAAGTATTTTCTTCTTTCAGATTTGATACCAGCTATAAAATGAAACAATAAACTGAGATGACTTCGATAGAGGAATCTCCATTACTAAGTCTAAAGACCACATAGAAGTCACTCCATGCTTTCACCATCCTTGTGCCTCATGTCTTTGACCTGTTACGTCTAGTCACCTGTCAAACTTGGCTCAATTACCCTCTCCAGACACTTTCTGGAAACCTCCTCCATTAGGTCTCTTCTCTGGGTTACTACAGAACCCTATATATGCCTCTTTATAGCCCTTATAAATGATTTACTTTTCTGTCTTCTCTAATAGATTAGATTCCTAGATGACAAGAATGGTGATAGTTGTTTTATGTTGTACCTTGAACATTTAGCAATTACTTGGTACCTAGCAAACATTTGTTCTCAAAGCAATATTACCATCTCATCTCAACATTGTGACACAAAGCTCGTGTATATTCATAATTAAAATGAACATATATTTTACCACATTAAAAAAAAAAAAGCACTGACCCTTAACTTTCTTGTTTCTGGTTGGATAAAGATCCCCAGGAAGCAAAAATCAAAATCAAAGGTAACTTAGCAAAGTACATAATTTACATCCTTGGAATAAAATGTGTGCTTGTGATGAATGATATTTTAATCCTGTCTYCCTCAAAGTGAGAGCTATATTAATAAAGAGAAAGATGATGTACAAACCTTTCAACACACTAGGCTTAGTGACAGGAAAAGAAGGCTCTGTGATCATAGATCCTGGAGACCAGGAAAGTAGACAATAGCACTGTGTCATAGCCAAAGTCAGTTTAAAAAGTATCCCTTCTGGTAGACCAGTCTCCCCTCTGTACAAACATGGATTTAACATCCATTCCAGTAGAAAGGTCTAAATTCTCTGTGGGCTCTTAAGAGAAGCTGCTCTTAATCAGGGGTGTACAGACAATCCTGTAGTGCTTTCTCAAAATCTAGGTGCCCATCCCACATTTCCAAAGCTTGGGGAGGACAATTTTTTTTAAAAAAATATTTTTTAGTTGTATATGGACACATTACCTTTATTTATTTATTTTTATGTAGTGCTGAGGATTAAACCTAGTGCCTAACACATACCAGGCAAGTGCTCTACCACTGAGCCACAACCCCAGCCCTGGGGAGGACCATCTAAAAAAACTCTCCAGGAAGCTGGGCCTGGTGGTGCACATCTATAATCCCAACAACTCAGGCAGCTGTGGCAGGCTAAGCTTAAGGTCAGCCTAGGCATTTTAGCAAAACCCTGACTCAAAATATAAAATTTAAAAAGGAATGGAAATATAGTTCAGTGATGCAGCATCCTTGGGATTCAATTCCCAGTACTAAACTAAACAAAACAACCCCAATACAAACAAACAAACAAAAAAACTCTCCAGGAGATTCTGATACACTCCTGGTTAAGAACCAGCTGTAGTGTAACTTATGGACTTTTTATTCAGAGAATATTTTTCCAATGATGAAGCTGGCTATCACAGTGAAATATTTTCATTCTTTCCCTGTCATTAAAATTATTCAAAAGGATCAAAGGTGGTGCCTACATCTACTCCTCTGAAAAGAAGACAATGAAATAAAAAGAAAGGAGAAATCTGAATCTGCTCATGTATACTATTCTATCAGACCGGAAAGGCAAGAACTTAGCTTAAAATAGGAAACCTTTTTCTTCCCACCAAGCTTAAATACTCTGAAGATTCAAACGAATCTGGAAAGCTTCTAGGGACTGAGGAGACTTAAAGGAAGAAAAGAAGTCCTAAACACTGCCCATTTTCTTTGGGTAAGGTATAGATTGAAATATGGATATTAATTCCTACCTGCTCAGTTTCTTGTTTATATCTATCTGCTCGTTCTTCAATGGTTTTTTTCTCTGACTGAGTTTGTTCCAGGTCTTTCCGGAGCTTGGCAATTTCTTCCTGCAGACTAAGAACTCGTCCAGTGGCAACCTTAGCTTCCTCCTCACTTAGCTGAAGACGTTCTAAGTCACTCCGTAATTTCTCAGTCTCAGAGTTGTATACTCCTTCCAGATTGGTCAGTTTTTCCATGAGGCATTTGTAGTCTTTATTCTTTAAACATACAAATAAGCAACAATAAGTAAATATATACTACTCATATGAATAACCAAATGTATTTCATGAAAAAATCATGCTTACTAATCACATCTGTGTTACATCATCACAGCACTGTTACAGTATATAATCAAATCTGTTAAACCGAATCATTTATAATACACCTTGTATTAAACTCACATTGAGATATATGGGCCAAGTCAAAATGACAGCACATTTCCTCTGTATTAAGAATAGACAGGGATATGGATGGCAATATGCTCAACATTTACAATAACACAACCAATATCTTCTCAGTGATACAAATAGAGGATAGCATAGCACAATTAATTCTGTTGTATGTGATATGCAACACAGATATGGTTTTTCATGATCATGAATTACATAGTAAATTCTTAATTTCATGATTTTTTTCTTGCAGGGGCGAGGGTTACCGGGATTAAACTAAGGGGCATTTGGCCACTGAGCCCATCCCCAGCCCTATTTTGTATATTTAGAGATAGGGTCACACTGAGTTGCTTAGCACCTCGCTTTTGCTGAGGCTGGCTTTGAACTCCCCATTCTCTTGCCTCAGCCTCCCAAGCCACTGGAATTATAGGTGAGTGCCACTACACCTGGCAATTTCATGATTCTTAATCCAGAAATAGGGGAATGTGTAACTTGATTTTGAAAACAGATCAGAATGCCACTAAAAACAATGAACCAGCTAAATGATGCATAAGGATGACAAAATGGATTAAAAATCACAAATTTCTTACAAATATCCATTTAGTACCTCAAAATTCTTTTGTCTTATTCAGAAAATCTTTCAAAAAATCTCATTTCATTCTGATCCTTGTTTTCTTTTGCTATTCTTATCATTTATATATTATTAATACCTTTATGTCACTTACATATGCTAAACTATTATTTAGTAACTATCGCTAAGCAATCAATTCTTTATCTCTGCAAATAGCCTGTAAACTCTTTATATGCATGGACACCTTTCTAATTTTTTTGTCATTTCAGTGCTACAAGAATATTATACTGCATACAAATAAATGATATGGTGAAAGAATTCTATAAAGTACAATAGGACTTTTGATCATTAAAGGTCTGAAGTAGGTTAGGGTTAGGGTGTTCTCAAAAATAAATCCCTTCCTTGATCCTTAAATTGTAATCTAACATATGAGCTCATCATTATTTCTATGCTCATTATTGTCATTATTTTATTTTTTGGTAAGACTAAAGGGTAAATTAAGGGGAAACAATATTGAAAATAATCCCAATGGATTTCTTCAGGCATGCTCCAACATCAGGGCTCCTTTTAAAAACACACCTGCTCATCAACTTTGCGCTGCAGCTGCATAATCTTGTTCTCCATGCCAATGTGGAGCTTCTTATATCGTTCCACAGAGCGAGCCTCAATTTTGAGCTTCTTAAGCTCACGCTTAGCCATCATCCTCCTGAAGCAACACTGAAGATAGATTATGGCATGCATGCTCTTCTTGTAATGTGTTCTAGCCAGCCAGCCACGGACCCACTTCTGAATGATGACTGCTTTGTGTTCACGGAGTATCTGCAGAAAAGGGTAAAGATGAAGGAGGTAAGATCCTGGATTATACCACGGTTCAACTCTATCAATGAGAGGCTGACATGTCAAGCTGAGAATCAATACATTATCTAAAGAGAAAGACGAAAAAGTTGAATTAATAATGCATTATGTGGATTATTCATATCACAGAAATATGAAGGCACAACATTATCTTAACAAGTGATTTTATAGGCAAAAATTATATGTATGATTATAAGCAGAATATACCTTGGAAACTGTCAAATAAAAGGCATCAGATTACCAAAAGAAAAAGGGTCTAAAGAGAAAAATACATTGATGTGGCTGTGTCCCTGTAGTATGCTGTTTTTAAGTCCTTTGGGTATAATCTGAGGAAAGGAATAGCTAGGTCAAATGGTGGTTCCATTCCCAAATTTCCAAGGAATCTCCATACTGCTTTCCAAATTGGCTGCACCAATTTGCAGTCCCACCAGCAATGTATAAGTGTGTCTTCATAATAGCTGCCATTCTGACTGGAGTGAGATGATATCTTAGAGTAGTTTTCATTTGCATTTCTTTATATACAGAGATATGCATTACTTTATATATAGAGATATGCAAAATTGTGCTCCATATGTGTAATAAGAATTGTAATGCTTTCCACTGCTGTCGTGTATTTAAAAAAAATAAAATCAATGTCTATATTTCTATATTTAACTAAAAGATTTAAAAAAGAGAGAAAAATACATTATGTTTCTTATTGTGTATGTTTTCTGTTAATAGACAACCCCCATAAAACTCCCAGAACCAGACACTCTGTGAACTACATGCTATTAAACTAGAAAATCTCCCCACTACTCTTACTGTTGACATCATCTCACCTCACTGTGCATTAGGCCTGTGCATGAGGTCATGGGGGTATGGTCAGCAAGCTGTTAGTAGAGGCCAACATTTAGGGTGCTAAAAGTTCATAGGTGATTTGACTTTTTTTTCTCCAGAAAAAAGAAATTATGACACTCTTGTTTGTTACATTTGAGGAATACCATTCTATGTAGTTTCTAATTCCTATTTTAAATGAATAAGAAATCTGCTTGTGGGATTTAAATTTGGAAGGATGGGTTTAAAAAGAAAGTGAAAATTACAAAGATGTGAAGTAATCTTCCTTTTGATTTAATGTTTTTAAAAAATATTTTTAAAAAATATATAGCCCCTTAAATTTATACTCAACTTATATTCATGCCTTTTATGAGATTAATTTCTTGCCACTAAAGACCATTTAGCATAAACTATATAAATATTTTCTAGGAAAGATGGAGAAAATAAAATTTGAGTTTTAAGAAAAGATTGAACTAGAAAAACTTTGAGTTCCTTCTAAGTATATAATTTTATGAAATAACTCTTGTATGAAGTACATGATATTTAAATGTTACATATTTGAGCTGGATGCAGTGGTGCATACTCATAATCCCAGTGACTCAGAAGGCTAAGGCAGGGGGATCACAAGTTCAAGACTAGCCTCATCAACTTAGCAAGACCCTGTCTCGAAGTAAAATATACAAAGGGCTGGGGCTACAGCTCAGTAGTAGAGTGTGCCTGGGTTCAGTCCCACACTGTGGGAAAAAAAGTTAKGTACTTGGTTAAGTACTTGTTAGTGATTCGTACAAATGAACATACTGTATCTCTTGTAAAATTTCTAAAATGTAAAAATCTCTGAAACCATCTATTTAAATAGATAGCAGTTTAATAAGATCATAAAAAGAACAGTTCCTACTTTTAGGTTATATACCTGAGAAAAACAAAGAAAAAAATAGCATTCTAGAAGATATACTTAAGAAATCAGTGGTTAAGTTTTGAATTATAAAACACCAAAATAAGCATAGGTGTTTAGGAGACCTGAGGAGTATCTTCTACCAACTCAATCCTGCACTTTTGGCTGTTCTTCCAACACTATGCCTTTCATCAAGTGCAGCCTTGCATTGTGCTGCCATGAGGCCAGCCCTCTGAACTTCTGAACATACCAGTCCTGAGGGAGGCCCTTGTTTTATCCAATGATTAAGAAGCAGGAACAACAACACTCAGTGATAGCAAACTGAAGGGTTTCAGACTTGAAAGTTCAAACAGCACATAGTAGCAAAGTGATAACACAAATTTTGCTTCTTCCCATGTGACTTTAGATATCGGTCCATTTCTCTAATTTCAGTCAAATGAAAACATAATATAATTGGAGCTTCCATGTTCAATGGAACATGACTCAGATCCGTGACTTAGAGAAATGAAAGAATGTCTATATTTCCTTTAAGACAGCCCCCACCCCAATCCCACTATGGGAATCCTTGGATCTCAAGAGCACAGCTAAAAGAAACTAGGATTAATAGGATGGCCTGTATGTGAGCAAGCATCCAATCTGAAACTACTCACCCAACACTGTGTCCAGTCACAGTGGGAGTGAGCCAGCCAGTGACTGCCACTGCCAAACTACTGGCCTCAAAACACATTTCAAATGTTTCTGAGGAGATTACTGAGGAAATTAGTTTAGTATATCTGAAAAGCCAAGTATAAAGCTCTGAAATCTCATACTTAGGTAGAAAGAACAGACTATAAAATAGACATAAGCAGAAAAAAGGATCTGGAGTAGCTGCCTTTAAATTTCCTTCAAACCACAGTTATTAAATATGTTCATTCAGATCTAATCAGTTTTATAAATTTTTATATCTAAAATCACTTCGAAATAAAAATGTAAAATGAATGGATGAAAATGGCCAAGATACACCCATACACTGCCAGTGATAAGAAACCTACCCCTAAATCACCCTATTTGTGTGCCTTCTGACTGGGATGCCCACAGAGCTCTAATATCCAGTTAGTAGACTTCTGGTGTATTAGAAACACAGTCTATACAACAGGCTTAAATTAAGCCTTGCCAAAATGAAAGAGATAAAAACCTTTTTATCAACTGTCAAAATTAAAATTAATCTGGTGATCCAGTATGTATAGAGTCATCTTTATTATTGCTAGATATAAAAATGATTTTTTAAAACCTTCTAGAGCATCATACTCCAATTAATAAATTTTAGCCATAATAATGTTATAATTTATTTTCTCTTCACCTAGTAAATTCTTCCAAGATGGTCTGATACTTGGGTTAATCTTCTACTCATCTGTCATATATTTGACCTAATCATATATATTTTATTTCTCTATAGTTATCTGATAATAGACTCCAAAGAAAGCATTTCCAGAATTTATAAATTATTTGGAAAAATGATATTTGTACATGTGACTAGGATAAAGATCTTAACATGGGAAGATTATCCTGGATTATAAAGCAGGATATAAATATCATTATAATTGTTCTTATAAGAGACAGACATGAAAAGTTAGACATATTGAGAAGATACTGTAAGGGAAGAGCAGATTGGAGGGATATGCCCTAAGTCCAAAGAGTGCTGGCAGCTACTAGCAGTTGGAAGAAGCAAGGAATGGGTTCTCCTCTAGAGCTTCTAGACAAAGTGCAGTCCTGTTGATACCTTGATTTTGGCTAAGTAATGATTTTGGACTTTGGTCTCCTGAAAGGTGAGATAATAAATTTCTGTTATTTTCAGTCACTAAGTTTGTGATAACTTATTATATACCTACTTTTTATTTCCAAACTACACAGATAAGGAATGAGAGGAGATAAATTTTTTCTTTTGTCTTATTAATATGTAATTATTTAATATTTAAAAACACACAATTGTTAGTTTTTTCCATATGGCTCCTATGTCCCAGCATCCCCTGTGGCATTATGTACATATATGGAAATTGATTAATGTTAATGGAATGAATAAACAAATTTGAAAATAATGTCTCACCTTGCGATACCTATTTCTGGCCAAATAGCCTCGCAAATAAGACTGAAGAACAATAGTGGCAGCTCGTTTAATCTTGTACTTCTTGTGGACCACATACATCCGCCAGTATTTCTGAATGATGACTGCTGCCTTGGTTCTACGCAGWAATTTAGCATAGCTAAAAGAACATAGTAGTACATTGTCAATAATAAGAAAAATGCAAAAATTCATATCAATGTCTCGGTCATAATGAGTAGTACCTGAATTACATTATTCTGATAATGTGCTTATATTTGTATAGCAATTAGTAGTTTCCCAAAGTAGAATTCATTCATTACCTCATCTGAATATTTATTATCATTAATTTTCTTACCTGAGCCTTTCCAATTTCTGAAAAGGGGGCCATCCCATACTGCCAGATTTTACAAATAAAAAAAGTAGAAAGTTCATAATTCTTTCGAGGACAGGGCTTATAACCATCAGCTATGTGCCCTTTACAAAGGAGACCAGTCTACATGGTAATCCCATATTTACTTATCATAAACTTTCTTAGATCTACCCATTGTTAATGTACCATATTTTTTCCTAAAATCTGTTAGAGTGTATATTCTTCATCATTAATGCCTTTCCACTTATACTTCAAAATTAAAATTGTCCTAATATGTAATCACATTGAAGTGTAGTTCTTCAGTACAGTATAGACCTTCTCAGCTACTTGTTCCTGAAAGCTCCTCAATGGAGTCATTATTAAGCAGGTCATATTCATGTCTATTTTAATTTACACATGATTTCTTCAAACTACCTATAAAAATAGAAAACACCAAAATTTTGAGGATATGAGTAGGTAGAAACTTAAAATTTTCTGAGGATGAATCAGAATCATCTATAAGGCTAAGTGAAATTTTATTATATTTAACTGTCTTATGAGTTGTTATTCCTTGAAACTAAGAAGGGGTGAGATGCTGACTTCTTAGGTAGGGTAACTACTCAAACCTGCCTTAGGTTGGATAATGATTTAGGTGAACACCTTAATCTTAGGGCCCTGTGATAAATAACGTATAGGTACTCAGGAGACCCACCATCGAGCCTGGTAGCCCCGCACATATCTCTGCACAGTGATGGCTGCTTTACGCATKCGTAGGTACTTCTTCCTCAGCAGCCAACCTCGGATGGTCTTCTGGATCCGAATGCAGGCAGCCCTCAGTTTGTCTGCCCTCAATTTTTCTAGATAGGCCACTTGACCAGCACGGAAAAAGATCTTTGTTTTACCAAACTGGTATTTGTCCTTGTCCTATTTTAGGAAGAAATTATATATTCAGAAATAATAACCATATAAAAGAAATTTAAAAGAGAAAAATATGTCTAGAAGCAGAATCAGTAAAAGGATGAATCTATTAGCTAAAACTTAGGCTACATCACAATTAACTAATGGAGCCAGATTTTTGATCCTATACAAGTTCAGCAAATAGAAGGGATTTTTAAGGAAAACTATAGTTTAAGAGTTATTTTCCAGAATTATTCTACCTGGAATTTTTTTATCTGAGGCCCAAAACTTGGTTGTGGGTTATAGGCAGCTATTATTTTCTGGTTTGTATTTTAAACATCTCAAGGAAATGGAGATGTTGACACTCCCTCAGAGTGACCGAGTTGTAAGCATTACATCAGGCTGTATATTCCATGAGCAAGCTGAAGGGACAAAAACATCAGTGTGAAGAGTAAGGCAGGAAGAAAAGCATATGAAATAAAATTGGGGGAAAAAAACCCAACCCCAAAATCCATGGGTATTTATGTTAAGAGTTGAGTTTCTAAACAATTATCTCTTGACTTCATCAACAGTATTTAAAACAAAGACAATAAGAAAAAACTTTATAAACGTGTAAAAATCCTATAAATTTCAAATTTCTTCCCCCAAATATAATCAGTTACATTGCTCAATGACATCTGCTTTACAAAAACAAACTTTTGAGTTTCATACTGTTCTTAGTGAGTCACCACATCTAGAAACATGTAAATTATTAACCGTTCTCATATCAAAAGAAGAGTAAAATGCATRAATAATAATCACTACTGTGATCTGAAATTCTAAGCAAAAACAGGAAATCCCTTTTCACTGTAAGCAGATATATCCTATCTTATACACGAAACCTAAAAATAAGAAACCTTCAAATGCATCTGAAAAATCTAAAATTATTCAATAATTTTAGAGTCATAGTTAAAAGTGATCCTCTCCTACCACCCCTGTCCCATCTCAAGATCCAACTTTGCCTCCATCTTGCAGGCTCCTCGCCTATTCCTTTCAAGGCCCTGAAACCAGGTCCAGAGTGGTAAGGAAGACAGGAGTAGGAACTGTTGCTCAATCCCACGTGAACTCAGGGTTGAAAGGAGATGGGCCAAACTCGACAAACACTAGATTTTTTAAAATATGACTTGTTTGTTTTTTAAAAACAAACAAACAATATATATATATATATCATTACCAAAGGAAATTACCTGTTAACAGTATAATTAGGACTAACTACCTTGAAGTGAGGCAATTCCCTTCAGACTCGTTTCAAACAGTAAAAATATATTTTWAAAAAAATTTTATGAATCTTAATTCTCTAAGTCCTAGATCAGAAGATCAGATTTTCTCAAAGTGCAGTTCTCTTCAGATAGCATCAGTATTACCTGGGAATTTGTTAGTAATGCAAATTATTGGGCAATTCCCCAATAATTGCCCCAGAAATTCTGGGGGTACAGCTTAGAGATCTGTGTTTGGCAAACACTCCAGGTGACACTAATTCACAATAAAGTTTTAGAACTTCTTAGCCTGGGATGATTGATTCTCTATAATATCAATCTATATTTCCTAACCATTACTTTACAATCCCATTCACAAATCTTATACTGCAAAAAGCTAGTTTTTCTGAGAAAACCCTATGCTTGTTTGCTTTTTTCATACCATGCTTTCTCTTAGAATATTCTTTCTCCAGTTTTATCCAGTCTTACCCATTCTTCATGGCCTGACTCAAAACATACTTCTTTCATGAAATTGTTCCTCTTTCCCCTAGCTGGATGTGACTTTACCTTCCTGATTTCTTGTCCTATTCATTAAGCATTTGATAYAGACTCTAAAGTACAGTGTATTTAACTTTAAAATGCATTACTTGCCAAGATAGACTGTTACTTGAGAATAAGGCTCATTTTTTGTTTTTGTTTTTGAGACAGGGTCTCACTATGTTATCTACATTGGCCTCAAACTCCTGGGTCAAGAGATCCCCTCATTACAACCTGAGTGGCTGGAACTACAGGCATGCACCACCATACCTATTAAGAATAATTTTTTCTCAATTACACAWCATCTGGTCCGGTGTCTTCCATAAGTAAGTACTGCAAATATTTTTGCTGAAATGATCACAGTCTCTAAAATAAATGTGTCTCAAGTTGGGTTCAGGCCTTAACAATTTTATTTTATGATAGTGGACCATTCTCCTGCTCACAAGTTTTAGCATGAGTGAGCCTCAACCTCTAAGACAGTGTGCCCCTCTACCCAACCACCCCTAGATAATTTGGAYGAATGATATTTTACATGGAAGCTCCCAGGGTCTTTACAAATAAGAACCACAAGGCCTTTGTTCAGATAAAGGTAAGTGAAAAATCTTTCTCACCAGTATCAGTTTCTCTAACACATTCTTGCATGTTTGCTTTCTGTCACCTAGCACATCTTTTTGCTTCATTAGGACTCGGTAGCGACTGAAAAATTCTTGGTAAGTCCACCTATAAAAATAAAATTTCATCAGTTTATTTAAAGAACCAGGAATCTCCCCATTAGGATTCCTTACACTTGAAAAATGTCACGCCCACCGTGAGGGGAAACCTGCTGCACTGATTCGAATGGTTTCCAGGACACCACATGCTCTCAGTTGCTGCACTGCCCTCTTCTCATCAAACCTACATGATTTAAAAAAAAAAAAAAAAGGTCATTAGTGCACAAAGAACCAAGCTGTAATCACTCTCCTCAGGCAGGGTTTAAATTCTTCTGTAAACAACCAAGTGGATAAATTACAAAAGAAAGCATTCAAAAGTTGAAGCTGTGATCAAAATGGAAAACTTCATGAGACTGGGGAGAGACAATGAGCAATAAAAATAGAGCTGTAAAAACCCCCTAGGGTTCAAACCACAAACTCATAAGAAAGTGCACTAAGGATACGAAAAAAAGAAAGGAACAYAAAATTTCTCTGCATTGTCCACACTCACTTACATGGGTTGACCTGATTAATTCTCAGAGTTTTTTAGCTCCCTATATGGGTTCTCCTGGAATGAATACTGGCCAGTCTGGAAGATATTCTTCATTCTTGAGCAGTTCCATCCCTTGGACTAAAAACGGACACCATTCCAACAGGAAGGACACATTAAATATGCCCCAGCAAGTTTTTTTCTTAAAAAAATTATTGATGTTTTAAAAGCTATTTATTGTATGCATACTAAGCATGTATAGTGTTTATATAAATGAAAATATTTTTATTTTGTATTATATTTTATATTATTTCACTATGGGCAATTGAAATCTTCAAATTAAAATAATACTAAAAGAGGAAGCAGAAAGGTCTCCTCTAACTATATGATCACTCTTATTACTCCCATAGCTAGGCTCTGAGTGATCCATCTACACCTTTCTCAAGTGTTCTGTTGGTGGCAGGAGATGTAGTTTGCTGATGCAAGGTCATGGCTCATGGCATGGCAATTGCTTCCTGCTTGCCACTTCCTCTAGAGAGGGCTTCTTAATGATGAGGGGCACAGGACAGCAGTCTTTCAGATCTACTCTCTAGACAATAGGATTGGCGGGGAAGTAAGGAAACAGGCAATCATAATTTGTAGAATGGGTGTATGTACCTCATTTTTTTTCCTTTTCTTTTTTCCTCATCTTAAAAAAAATACTTACGGAGCAGTGTGATATTTTAATATATGTACATAATAAGTAATCCTCAGACTAGAAGCATGATATTTGACCTACAAATTCACAAATTCCATTTCTAGAAATATATTATCTGAAGGAGATATTAGACAAACAAAAATTACAGGCAAAAGATGTTTTTACAGCATTGTTGAAACAACCTAAATAATCATCAGTAGGCAATAATTTGAATAAATAATGGTACATCTGTGTCATAGGATACTCCGCAGCCATTAAAATGAGATGTGGACTTTTACTAACATGAGACGTGTCCACTATCTATTGCATAAAAAACAGAGATAAAACTGCAATTACAGCATTGAGATCCTCCCTTATTCTAGTATTTTTTTCCTCTCTCTCCCCGTAAATCAGTCTGTCTTTCTGTCTGTCTGTCTGTCTGTCTCTCTCTCTCTCTCTCACACACACACACACACACACAGAATAGGAAGGAAGGGATGCTGGTTAGTCAAGAATGGTTTATGCCAGTTTATACTAATTATCTTTTTCATTTCTTTTTATACTATCCTATGTTTTCTGAAAATTGTTTTCACAATGTACATGTATTAGTTTCAAAATTAAAGGGATATCTTTTTGTGGGGTGATGCATGAAAGATTCTTCTCTCATAGTTAAAAAAATTTATTTGTTCTTTTTAGTTATAAATGACAGTAGACTCTATTTTGACATACTGATACAAATATGGAATATACCTTATTCTAATTAGGATCCCAGTCTTGTGGATGTACATGATATTAAGATAGACTGGAGTGTATTCACATATGTACATAGGAAAGTTATGACAGATTCATTCCACTATCTTTTCTATTCCCCCCCCCTTCCTTTCATTCCCCTTTGTCTAATCCACTGAACTTCTATTCTTCACCTCCCCGCCCACCCCTGACCTATTGTGTGTTAGCATCCACATATCAGAAAGAACACCTGACCTTTGGTTTTTGGAGACTGGCTTATTTCACTTAGCATGATACTCTCCAGATCCACCCATTTACTGGCAAATGTCATAAAGTCATTCTTCTTTATGTCCAAGTAACACTCCACCGTGTATATATACCACAATTTCTTTATCTATTCATCAGTTGATGGGCACCTAGGTTGGTTCCATATCTAAGCTATTGTGAACTGAGCTTCTATCAACATTGATGTGGCTGCATCAATATAGTATGCCAATTTTAAGTCCTTTGGGTATATGCTGAGGAGTGGGTCAAATGGTAGGTCCATTCCAGGTTTTATGAGGAATCTCCATACTGCTTTCCAGAATGGTTGCACCAATTTGCAGTCTCACCAGCAATGTATCAATGTATCCTTTTCCCCATATCCTCGCCAACATTTATTGTTACTTATATTCTTGATAATTGCCATTCTGACTGGAGTGATGTATAATCTTGGTGTAGTTTTAATTTACATTTCTCTAATTGCTAGAGATGTTAAACATTTTTTTTTCATATATTTGTTGACCATTTGTTTTTCTTCTTATGAGAAGTATTTGTTTAGTTCCTCTGCCCATTTATTGATTGGGTTGTTGTTGTTGTTGTTATTACTATTATTATTATTATTATTATTATTATTTTGGTGTTAAGCTTTTTGAGTTCTTTGTCATATATGCCATTTGATGCAGGACAAGATGTTGGTAAAAGCAGACAATCTCTGGTGGTTTCATCAGGTAAAAAGTAGCAGGTACATCTTTGCCAAAGCATCCTTATCCTCCAGCTAGTTCTGGTTTTAACTAGTACCCAAATTAACAAAACACCTAGAAAGATTTTGAACTGAGGTAAATTTAAAAAATAATATCAAACCAGAAATGTTTGATTGACCTCAACTTTTAAGCCTTAACAGATGACCAACTGCTAATTTATTCTCACATTCTGAAAAGGGAACAAAAACTGAAAAAAATTCTATTAAGTAGTATTTTACCTCTACAAGAYGTGAAGATTTACCCTGGTTTTTTTCCTTATGAAAGCTTGGCAATCCTCATGCAGCAGGGATATTTTATTATTCAGTAGTTGAGAAATACTTACGTGAATGGAAACTTGAAGTCATTAGGCTTAATACAGCGCACATAGTGAGGAGTAGTGGCATTGAGGGTCTCCATAAGCAAGTGAAGGGAATTTCGGAACTGCATGAAAAAGGGCAGAAAGGGGAATCAAAGTTTTCTTAAAAGTCAAAGATGATGTAAAACAATTAAAATTCTCTTCCTATGACACTAATGAATATGACTTTGTCACCTATTAATTTGATGTATCCTGAAAAGGGGAGCTGATACTAAAACAGGAATGTTAAGACTTTTAGTTAAATTCTGCCCAAACTCTATTAATATATGCTTACTCTGCTAAATATATATCTTCCCTACTCTCATACCTTTCTCCCATTCCCCTTATAACATAGGCTTCTATAGCTTTGTGATATGAGTTCATTCGTACGTGACCCACAATATAACTTTGCTTTAAGAATATGAAGGTCATTTAATTATGTCAAATAGAAATTTTGCTTAAGATACTGAAAAAAGCAACAGATATCTTAAAAGAGTATAAGGAATGAGTGGAGAATGGGAAGGATGGCCAGAAAGGAGTTACCWTTAGGGACATGAAATCAGGACTAGAGGCTGTGGACTCATGTCAGGTCCTGCTCTGATCTACACTGGGACAGGGTCTCATACAGGAAAACACAGTATGTTTTTTAGTGTTTAACCTCCCTTCCAAAGCCTTTACCCTACCTTTAGGCACTAAGCAGGCGTATAATATTTCCCACTCCCCACAGGGCATAAGACATCAAAGGAAGGAGAAGGCACTTTCTTGTACTGAAGGAGATAACTGTTGCTCTGTATAAATACAGAGACAAAGCAACCAGAGAATGAAGCAAAGAAAGCAGTGGTCTGAGAGAGATGATATGCACTAAAAGAATCAAGACATAGAGAAAATTGTTTGGGGGAAGGCAGACACGAAGGCATGGGTCTAGAGTTGACAGAGAGAAGTATGAGTGGGCAGTGTTATTTTTTCTCACAGTGGAAGCTCCAGACTYTTCTCACCTGAGAATCCCACCTGGAAGCTAAAGAAAGAAGACCTGAGGCTTCAGGTGAGCAAAGGAGGAGTGTGGCAGCAGCAGCTCCCTGAACTCACCTGATGCCCCACTGTTTTCTTGTGCTCTTTGGCCGTCTGGCCTGGTCTGCCCTTGGTGGCCTTTGCAGGAATGCGGGTGAGGGGTGTACGCCCTGAAGAGGTGGCTGAGGTTGGACTAATGGCCTTTTCATCATCTTGAAATAGTTCTGGTAGCATCTTAAACTGGGTCAGAAACAGTAAAAAGCAATTACACTCTGAACCTACAGTCAAAAGTAAGCCTTCATAGACAAAACTTTATTAATATTTTCAACAAGTAGAGAATCTCTTGCTTTAGATAACTCCTATCAGAATCACATTCCAGAAATAATGAACATTTGAGTTAGGAACTGAAAATATGAGATAAAAGTAAAATAAATGCTATAAAAATATAGGTAGAGGCTGGGCACAGTGGTGCACCTATAATCCTAGCTACTTGGGAGACAAAAGTAAGAGGATTACAGATCTGAGGCCAGCCTCAGAAACTCAGTGAGACCTGTCTCAAAATTGAAAAAAAAAAAAAAAAAGGGTTGGGGGTGTAGCTAAGGAATAGAGTGCCTCAAGGTTTGACCCCCAGTACTAAAACATGTCATCTATTTCTAAACCCTACCAAATTCCTATCACCTGCTCTGACTTAATCTCTTGTGTGCTTTCATTTTCAAATTTCTACATGACATGTCTACCTGGCTATCTAACTGCTATCTCAWGTAAAGCATAGCTAAAACAGACACGGACTTCACACTGTGTTACCACAAAAAAAAATTATATTCAAAACACAACACAAATATTTATAATTTGGTATTTCCAAGAGAACATTATGTTATATTTGCTTCCTATCCAGTGCAGAGAAATTATGAAGTTTATACCTGCAGCTTGGGTTTCTGAAAAGAATGGGAGCAAGAAGTTCATCAAACTATGTTAGATAAATCATACACTGTCCTCACTTCAACTGCAGCAATGCTGCATAGAGTGGCAGACACTTCAAATGACTCACTAGAACACAGAGATAATTTCTGATGGTTAAGAAAATTAAGTCAAAATAAAGACAACTGATTATGGGTGCCTCAAGAATGAGAACCTTTGTTTAAGCTAAATTACTTTGGCCAAATATTAACAATAGAATTTCATGGTTTATAGCAATGTTCATAAATCAAAATGACAAAGATCTTCACCTGTTTAATACTTAAAGATTGGCACTATGAAAATTTTCTTACACATCGATCCTGTAAGCTATAAAGCATTAATTAAAGAAAAAAATTATCTTTTTCTATAGACACTTTGACTCATTATTTTCTGGGGGTTAAAACTGGGATTTGGTCTTCATGTGATCTTTATATTATCAAAATAACGGAAAGCAAACATTTTAGTTTCAAAAACAAGAGTTAGAATGTTCATATGCAATTCCATTGAAGTTAAAATTCTTTTTAGAATAAATTAGAAAAACAAAGTGTAACAGTCATTTAGACAAATTCACATGAAGATTTTTACTTTTTTAAATGAATATTGGCCCAAATAAGTAGTTGGCTGCCTGGTTTGCACCCTGTAGGATGAATGTGAGAGGTCCTCTCATCCTTTCCAGATTAATTTGAAGGGTGCAGTTGGGATCAATCTAATGATGTATTGTAGACCTCATTGTTTTTGCCATCTGGAATATTCTTTTCCCCCTGGAAGGCAGTGTTTCTAGTGTCTGTCCTTAAGAAAAATAACTTCAAAGTTATACCTGGAATTAGATTCAACAATGATCCTGAGCTCAATCTCCATCAGCATGAAGTACATGAGGCCACAATTCTGGCACATCCCTTCAAATGACATAGCAAAAAAACCTGTTTTCTCTCATAGTCTCTCACAAAGGCACACAAGAGAGAAGACCATGGTGGAGGCAATAATTTCACTTAAAACTGAAAGACCACAATGCATAGTGGTTAAGAGCAGACCCTGARCAAGACAGCTTGCGTTTTAATGTGGCTTAAAAACTCACTAGCCATGAAGTCCCTGTGCCTCAGATGCCTTATCTGTAAGATAAGAGTAATGATAATACCCCTCATTATAAAGATTAGATGTGTTAATATTTGCAAGGCTTTTAGAACAGAACCTGATACACAGTGTTATATATTGGTGAATTAAAAACTGTAAGTAAAACAGATTTTGTTGGAAAAATCATTTTTATTGTTAAAATGCTAATGCTTAAAGCTGGGCATGGTGATGCACACCTGTAATCCCAGCGACTCAGGAGCCTGAGGCAGGAAGATCACAAGTTTAAGGCCAGCCTGGGCAACTTAGCAAAATCCTCTCTGAAAACAAAAATAAAAAGGGCTGGAGATACAGATATAGCTCAGTGGTAGAGTGCCCTTAGATTTAATCTCAACCCCAGTACTGCAAAACAAACAAAAAAAGCAACAAAAACTAGTGCATAATTAACATTTTATTGAATATACACTTATTAGAATAAACCTGTCTATGGTTACCTTGCTTGACTTAAGAACTTTAATATGTTCATCAAAAACAGTGTCTTTATTCTTTTCAAGAAAGCCTTCACACTGGTATTCCACCTGAAAACACATGGAAAAATCTCCTTAACTGATAGCACTTTTGAATAGATATTATATCATCAACAACAAAAATAAGTAGTAGCTCAGGTTACATGACCAACTCTCATCAGTTTTTTGCTAAAATATTGGTACCATTCCATAACTGTTTTTCTAGGGAATAGTGGTAGTGCTTGCTGATTAATTGTGGTCTAAATAATCCTCTCAATTTATGGGTAAGCAGACTCATAAGAAGTTGATCCTCTTCCCCCATGCTGGACAAAGAAAGCTCATCCCAGGCTGACCCATTATATCTCCTTCTAAGCTAGTCCACTATTCAGTGGAATGTTTTCTTTTGGGAAAGAAGAGATTAAAGTGGGAGATAGGATCAAAAGGAACACATGGCTGTTGGACTGGAAAGAGGTGAAAAATTAATGATGGATAGAGGAAGAAGCTGGGGGAAATATTGTTGATTTGGTAAAGTGGKATTCCTTGAGGATAGAAGATTTCTCTTTCAAAACCCCAGCAACCTGAACAGTCTGTCACTAGAKGAGCTTTATATCCTGTACTACAAAACCCTTAGGTGAACTTATGTTCATTTTAAGGTTTCCAGTCAGGACTAAGGTAAACTCAGAAAGTCCTCAACCCCTGAGGGAGATTCCCAGGAAGCTGGTTTTCAGAGTTTCCTGGAGTTCCAACTTCTAGACAGAAGACTAGACCCCTATTTATTTCATATATAATTCAATTTAAGTTAAAGGAAGAGAAAACCAACAAGCCAATACTGAAGACTRCTTTTTCTGTAAGCCCTCAAAGAATGCAAGCATCAGCAAAGAAAAAAACAATATTTCTTGATTATTATTTTTTCCCTTCATTTAAGTATTCAAAAATAAAAAAATATACAAAGCTTCCTTACTTTGTCAGCAAAATGTTGGATGATGAAAGCTTTGTTTGACAGGCGAGGCTTTTCAAAGAGCGCACATTTGTTCAAATGTGTGTTGTACAATTTTTGGGCCCAAGTGTCATCTGTACCTTTAGGCATCTACATTGAGGGAGAAAAAGAAAGAAAGAAAAGAAACTGAATATTGAGACTCTTCTGTTGCATCAACTGCCAAAAGGTCACTTTTTGGCTTTACCTATACTCTATATTTAGTTTAGGAATTCATTTCTTCTACATTTCTTTCCAACAGGCCCCAAACCAATTACTAATGAAGAGCTAGACCAAGCGCTTTCCACAGGTGACCCAGCCATCTTTGGGTGACAATCTGCCTATACTAGAAATCATCAAATAAATATTTGATCTGTTTTTAAAACAAAGGCCTTATAAGATGAATATCATGTATATAGTAATATGTATTTTTAAATTTTAAATTTTTGTTAAATAAAGGTAACATTTACACACAGATATGAAATGGAGGGTCTCCCCTTGTTGTTTTCTCAACTTTATTATCTCTTTTAAGACATGTACATGAATGGGCTCATTCTACGTACTCCTTGCCTTTTTTTCTTCTTAATAATTCTTTTATTTATGGCCACTAGGTTGTTATTGTTTTTTGTTATTATAACAACTGCCATAGTTTTCTTCTTACACGTATATACCTTGGATACTTTCACAAGTATATTCATAGATTGAAATCTAAGCAGTAAAAAGATACATGTATTTATGATTCTGAGAATTATTGTCAAATTTCATCTTAAGTATGTTGTATTAATTCTTATCCTTATTGTACAGATACAGTATTCATTTACCAATACCAAATGAAAGGTATCAGGTCTAACTTACCCATGTGATGGGTAAAAAGCAGGATACCATCTTTGCTTTGCTTTGCATTTTATTTTAATTTCAAGTGAGGCTGAGCACTTTTTTATTACATACCTTCTTAATGTTGTAGGAAATCTGGAGGCTTACATGGATCAACCTATGATAAGGTGTAACTTATTGCATATAAACTAAAGAAAGATTAAGTGAAAGTATAGGTTATTTGCCTAAGATGACTCAGATAGTAGTAAAGCTGGGGATCCACTATTTTTTCTAACATGGTGCATCATCAGATATTAAGACTWACCTCCATCTTTATCACCTATGTCCATAATAAAGAATGACTAGTAAATTTTTAACTTATGGCTATTTAGAGCTAAGCTATGAAACCAACCTAGGTGCCCTTCAACAGATGGATGGATAAAGAAAATGTGGTATACATACACAATGAAATATCACTCAGTTATAAAAAGGAATGACTTTATGACTTTTGCCAGTATATGGATGAATCTGGAGACAATCATGCTAAGTGAAGTAAGCCAGTTCCCAAAACTCAACATCAAATGTTCTCTTTGATATGCAGATGCTAACACACAACCAGGGAGGGGAAGGGAAGAATAAAACTTCAGTGGATTAGACAAAGGGGAATGAGGAAAGGGAAGGAAGAAGGGAATAGGAAAGACAGTAGAATGAATCAGACATAACATTCCTATGTTCATATATGAGTACACGACCAGTGAAATTCCACATCATGTGTAACCACAAGAATGGGATCCTAATTAGAATATTTTACTCCATGTATGTACAGTTTGTTAAAATATACTCTACTATCATGAATATCTAAAAAGAACAAAAAAAGACTAAAATCACAAATAGATTATCCTTTTTTAGCATATTTCATTTTTAATGTATTTTATTGAATTCCAACTAAAAGACAACTTATCATAGTTGCCTTAAACAACAAATGTTATCATCAAGAGTGGTCTCAAGTTGTAGGTATTACCAGTGACAACTGTGTCCCTAAATAATAACTCCACCTAGATCACTACTGATATTCTCATCTTACTGGATATTATATAAATGACTTGACATTTCCCAGATGGTTTCCTAATGATAACGAGAGCTTACCTCCTACATTTGAGAAAATTCCTTTAACATACTTGGATTAAGCCTTATATATAGCAATTCYTTAATAAAAGATAAATAATAGTGATGATGACAAAAAATTATGGCTACTTAGAACTATTATTCAAAATATATTTTGTGCAATTTCTTGCATTTCTTTTTTTTTAATTTTTTTATTGGTTGTTCAAAACATTACAAAGCTCATGATATATCATCTTTCATACATTTGACTCAATTGGGTTATGAACTCCCATTTTTACCCCAAATACAAATTGCAGAATCACATCGGTTACACACTCACATTTTTACATAATGGCATATTAGTGACTGCTGTATTCTGCTACCTTTC